TGGAACATCACATGACTGAACACAACGAGTTCAAGAAGGAAATGAAATCCTATCAAACCGATACTTAGATACTGGGATCAACTTGACACGAATAAGCAAGTGTCGGCACCAAAGGAAGGGGTTCCGCGCGATCGTGCAGAAACATGGACAAAACACTTGTGTACTACACAAACATTCACATCCCAATTGCACAATTTATATTTCACTCGGAGCTTTCCATGTGCTGCGCACACAAAATAACCAGGAAGTCTACACATTTTTATTGGTATATCAGCTCACCATTGAACCACAGACGAAAACACGGAACAACATTTAGTACAAGTGTCTTCCTGAGCTGCAAGCATCATGGCGTTTGGTCTGACCAGGTTGCTTATTTTGGTCGCATTTGTCGTGATATCTCACGAAGAAATCATCAAAGTAGGACCGAATATTGAATACGAGAATTGTGGTAAGTTGGACAAACCACACTCTGTGGGATAGAACTTACATTAAATGAGTAATGGGAAAGAATTCACAACTTGTTATAGTCGGAACATCGATCGCCAAATTTATCGTGAGAAGTCATCTCAACTTTGGATCAATCACTTAAAACATGTTCAGGGTAACCGCTTTTACTACTCTTTGACTTTTACTACTCTGTAGTTAGTTATTGGACAGAAATAAACCTGTAAATAAGACGGTAACTGACTTGGACATCACAGACGATATAACTTATTGAGCGCATTGTAGCAAGTGGGACTGTACAAAATGAAAATGACAGGAAAAGGAAAGACGAGAAATGTTGAGTTTCCGTCTAATTTGTGAACAGAAAGGTAGAGTCTGCAGCAGCTGTAGCAACACTTTGAATTACAAAATACAAAAGGAATGTTTAGACACTCAGCCATGATGATTAACACTCTAGAAAATAGCAACTGTTCGATTTATACGTCTGTACTGTCTCCGGATATGATCTTGATGTATAGGCCAATCCGGTAGTGTCTCCTAACCCATCTGATTGATAAATGGATTAACCCTCCGACGCAGAAACTAGCCCTTTTGGGGACCCAATTTGGTTAATTACCTTAATAAAAAAAAAAATTCCAACCAATTCTGGTGATCTTCCATCTAATCCTAGCCAGAGACACCCACTACGGATATATGCAGTCACCTTTAGTGTGTGACCCCGGGTCAGGCATATCTGAGCCTGACAACCTGGGCTGCCCATATACACGTGCACAAAACAAAGTCACTTGCGGGTAGCCAAGTGCACGACTTGACCACAGACTATGTATACAACATCTGTTTCCTGTCAATGACCTCCTTATTTATAGTCTACAGACATGTCGAGATTGTATACATATAGATACAGCGTTGTGTAGCCTCAAACCAAGGCGCTAAATATCTGGGTCCCCGGAGGGACCCCTTACTGTAAGCGTGTTAGTAAATGTGCTTTCTGCGTCGGAGGGTTAAAAATAGGTCTATAGATCGATTGATCTATCCACTGATTGATTGAAAGGATAAATTGACTGATCTATCCACAGATCGACCAACAGATTGATTGATTGATTTAATGGACAACTGATTGATCTATCGATATTGAATGGATAACTGATTGATCTATCGATTGATTGAATGGATAACTGATTTCTCTACTGATTAATTGAATGGGATATTGATCTATCGACTAATTGATAGATCTACTGATTGATTGAATGGATAATTGACTGATCGACCGACCGGCCAACCGACTGACTGATTAAATGGATATTTTGTTGATCTATATTAATCGATCTTTTTCTTTATTTGATTGATAGGTCCGCCATTCAATCTGACCCTGTCTCCTAACCCACCCAAACTCAGACAGGCACTCAACATCACTGTCGAATTTGTGGCTGGTAAGGGCTTTTGTTGCTTGTTTTAGGGGTATTTTTTGAGGGGGGGGGGTGATTTGTGTGTTTGTTCTTTTATCATAATGGTTATTCAAGTTTAGTATATTACTTATCATACGAACCACGTTTGTCAGACAATCAATATAAGGCCAGTTGCAAAATCGTCGGATTGAGAAGATTGTAAATTTACTATCCACATCACAACCATAACAAAGACTCAAATGAATGACAGAAAATATAGCAGTGTATATAATATTAATAAAACAAAATAACACGCAGTCGAATTCAATTTCCTGAAATTAATCAGATTTAGTGAATTGTCTTATTTGTTTATGTTTAGCTTATGACTTAATCGTTGGGGTTATTGAAGCTTACTTCAACGTTTGGCCTTATTACTACAAAGATGCTTACTGCGCTATCGGCGAGACCATTGATCCTAAAGGCTGCTATATCAGCAAGGGAGGTAAGTTCACTTGACTGGGACTCGAACCTCGGACCACTGAACTTTATGATTCGTTGACGTAAGTGCTTTGTTTTATCTGATGTCATTTTTATTTAAACTTCGTTTTTATAGAAACGAGAGTCATTTCCGGGACAGTTTGGGTGGACGACAACTTCAAGGAGGTAAGGCCTTTTTACACACAATTCTCGGATCAATTTATGTCTGTTTATTTTTGATAGTTTTCTTCTTCAAATTCTGAGTGGGGGAGGGGCTGTGCACAAAAAAAGATTAGGCTTCGAGCTGGAGAGGGGCGTGCGAACTCTATCAACTGACACTCTTGAACTTGAGACATTACTTGAGACATGAATTGAGCATTATATGCACTGCTTCTGAAGTGTGAAATTTATGCAAGGTTTTTTTTTCTTATTTATTTTCAGACTTACTACGTGGCGAATGCAACCCTGCGTAACCAGGATGGCAAACTGTTGCTCTGTGCTAGGGGGAGGGGGAAGTTGTAGTAAGCTTCATGACGTCATGACGTTGTCATGTGACCATATTGGGTTCACATTTACTGCAGCCTTGTCGATATGACACTGAAATGTCATTATTTCGAAGACAATTAAACGTAATCATTATCACTGGAAATGTCATCTTAGGGAGTCATTTCCATAGGGTTGTAATTACCCCTAAAGCCATTTTCCCTTAGCCTACCCCACGATTTTTGGTATATTTATGTTTTGGACCACGAGCAATCAATCTAGCCTATTTGCGACGTAACTTTGCCTCTAAATAGGAGTTGTGACATTAAGGAGACATTGAAATGTCTCTTTAATGTCCAGCGTCTCCCTTAGGTATAATTTATGACAACATGTTTTCTTAAGTACACATTAACAGGAGTTGTACTCAGAATATTGCCATCATGTTGATTATCAACAGTGTAAACAGAAAACTAATCCACATGATTATTAGCAAATTTTTGTTTCTAATTTCTTTAAAAAAAAACACTGTTGAAACTATTGTGAAATTTACAAAGCACATGCAAAATTTACAAATTTATGTAAAAAATAAAAAAAACACATTTCATGACTTAAGATGAAATGAGTTGACAGTTGAAGAAAGCCGTGAATATGACTTATTAGGATCTTTCAGCATTTTGAGTTACTACCATATTTTGCTAGGGTCTATACACCAAAACAAAAAGAAAGCACTATAATTTCGTGAATATGTTTGGAAGTATAACTTTGTATACAAGAAACACATCCTTGAATTAAATCTTGTCATCTATAAAAAAAAGTCAGAAATGTGTATGGATTGGTCAGTGTTTGAGTGTTAGCCACCAAGACTGGGTGACGTCACAATCAGCCCCGCTAGCCCGGCTGTTTACACCTTCAAATAATGACATTCAAATATCAGTGTCAGAAAAAAATTGCAATTCTTGCAACGGGCGATATTACACGACTGCGATAATATTTGCGACATCGCAAACATTTTCGCCAATATTTGCAAAGATACTTGCGATGTGTGATGTCCCTTCAGGGCCACGATACTATTGTGCTTGGAGTGCATCAGTGAGCAGTCACGCTGTTGTATATGGCACCAAAAGTCAAAGTCATCGGCACGGAAGACATATTAATATTTTTATACGACGCGGTCCGTGGTCATGGGCCCTGGTTTAGGAAGGGCGCCCTCTGCGCCCTCTGCGTACAAAACCCGCTTTACAAAGGGGAAACATCTTAAATATATAGAGGAACCAAAAAAAAAGAGTTTCTAGAGCAGATTAAAAATGCTTCAATTATGGACAAAACATCTTTATCGTCGAAAAAGTCGACAAAAGCAGTCAAACAAGCAAACAATATGCTAAAACCAACAAGCTCGATCGGAAAGATCTCGGAAGCTGCGGGCCAACGATATTTTGAACAGCTTTGAACAACGCCCACATAGCTATGAACCCCCTCCCTTTTTATTTTACGGAGACCGGTAAAAGAAACCTGTTTAGTTATCAGTACGGATGAAGAGACGATTGCCCTCATGTCCCACCAAATAAAAATGACACTACGGCGAAACGTGCTAAACCTGCTGTTGCTGTCGAATCCACATCATAAATTAAATTAAGGATTGACAAACGAGGAGTAGAGGGCCACGGCTGAATGAAAATTCCAGGTTAATTCGCTTCAAACCGATCCCTTTTGTTATAGTTTCAAGTAGGCTTATCATATAGTTCGAAATAGCAGTGGCGCAAGTCGCATCGGTCCCCAAAAATATATATATATATATATTTTCACGAGGGCTCCATTTTTATCGTCACGCGCGTCTTGTGACCTGAGTGTCGGCAAAAGTCGTCTGCAAAATAATGTGCCCAGTGATGACGAGCGTCACCTATGCTCCGAGTACAAGTACTTTTACGGAGGAAGGGTGACGGGGGGAGAAACCTTGCCTACCTTTTTAGAGCGGATGGTCCGTGGGCGAATGTTTTGTCAACCCCTGTGACCCAGCCTCCCCCCCCCCCCCCATAAAGTTTACCGACGCGGCTCCTGCCAATGTGACAAGTGCCGCAAGTTGCCGCACTGCAAAAATTAAATAGCGCCCTCGCGCGTCTTTATGATGACTGGTACCCGCCGCGCTGTCATTTCATTGAAGTGATCTTGCATGTAAACCAGCGGCAGAGGGTTTGGGTTATTTACATGACATAGAAATAGCGTGCGTCCATGGAGATAACAACATGGGGATTTGCTGACGGCGAAAACACAGGCGTACGTGCGGATTCGTGCATTGCTTTTTGTCAGAAATCGCTCATCAAAATTTAACGATGACACTATTCAACTCAAACTCCAGTAAAGCAACATGATGTAAAACGATCATTCACTAAGTTGTTCTTTTGGTGATATTTTCCGGCCAGGGAAAATACCCTGAAGGTGGTAGAAGAGGAATGCTGCAGGTGGAATCTCCGCCGGGGATCAGCCACAGTCTGGTGAAACTTGTTCCCATGCCCGGTGAAGTTGACGTCTCACCAGCCACCACCAACGCGGCACCGAAGGATGAAGGCCACAGCAGCGATGGGGTGCCGTCCTCCTCCAGCGATCTGGCCATCCCACACCGATTCTCTATCGAATCGGATTTGACCTATGCACCGAAACTGAACACCACAAGCTTGCGGTTGGCCCAGGGGTCGGGAAGACAGTCCCGGTCTGGCCTGCTGCAGCGGGCCCGGGCCACGCGCCTTGCCGCCGTCCAGCAACATTGCCAGGATGAGTTCACGTTTAAGCCTCAAATGAGCTCAGCAAGTCTTAAGATTGCCGAGACATTAGGAACGACATTTATGGTTCGACAGGAGCAACATCTGGAGAAACAAAGGAAGAAGGTGATGATCTATTTCTCATTTATTGCAACTGATGTTGCGTTTTCTTTGAACTTTCTGTTGCTTTTGTTGGTTCATTAAAATTGGTAATTTTATGTCCCAGTTCACTCACCTTTTTTCTTTAAATGAGTCTTAACTTTAGCTTGAGTAACTCCAACCCCAAATGCTCATGACATAAATTGGGAAATGAGCATTACGGCTGCAGAGTTATTCAAGCGAAAGCTATCCTAAATATCAGATTTAGTGTCATAAATTCAGAATTGTCCACACATTTGATACTTGTCTCTGTCCGTCTTTTATTTAGCAGTGCTTTGTTGGTTCATTTTGTTTGTTTTTAATTTGAGTGAGTCAGTTGTTGGAGATCTGAATATTTTCTACCGAAAAAAAAAGCTTTGTTTATTTCAGTTCAGGTGAAATACTAGTATGATTTATTATTTTTTTTTTTTTACAAAGAACTGCATTTTGGCTTGGCCTTGGGGCATTCCAATTGTTTGGTTGAATCATTTCCCACAGACCCTATTTTGGGCTCCCGAGAAAAACCGCTTTTTTATTAACGCCGACCCTGTCTGGAACCCATTCCCTCAAAAAAATCAGGCAATCAGGTTCGGAGTTATTTGAAAAGCTATTGAAAATGAATCAATTTTTCTACCAAGTACAATCCCATAAGGTGCAAGGATGTTGCCTCTCATTATTTTAGGTGTCTATAGTATACCTTTGCTGAGGGAATAAATGTTTGCATGACCAGTTTTAATTCAATTTCACAAAAATTCACCATTTTCGTACACATTTCCTATACAAAATAAGGTCATTTGATCGACATTTATTTGGCCATAACTTTGGATTGCATGGGTCAATTTTTTGCAATTTTACCATCATTTGTTTTCTTTTTGGGTGAGCTTTACAATGAAAGCAATCTCTTAAACAAATACAACCATTTAAAAAAAAAGTTCACTAGCCCTACTTAAAACTGTACAAAATAGATGTTTAAGACCGGTTTGGAGTCTAGACGCTAATTTCGGTGAGGGTCATTATCAGCGTCCAGACTCCAAACCAGTCTTAAACATAATTGTAATACCGGCCAAGCACATTCCCATTCATAAATACCTTTTTGGTCAAACAGTCAAAGCAAGTCAGAAACTAGAAATTTCCAATGATTTGGTTTGAACCAACTTGTTGAACAATAAGTTTACTTCATGTTTTTTTTAAACACCCCTCTAGCTATGTTATGGTACATGTATGTGCCTTTCACATTTGGACTCACTGGTAGTATTGTGCATGCCTAACCAAGGATTGTGAATGTTCAACCAATAAAAGGATAAAAGTGACCTGATTTCCTGAGTCCAAATTTCATGTGACACTGGAAACATGTTTTAAGACCAGCCAGCCGGTATTTTAGCAACTGTTTAAGAGGCCACTTGACGGGCTCTCGACCAATATGATTGGGTAAACTGTCTTAGGTATTTATGAATGGTATGTCATGCTGGCTGCCACTACAGCCAAAATATTAGTGAGTTGCAGAGTGCCGATATAATGTACATGTAAGTCAACTATCTTGTGAAATTTGTTTTATTATTTTATTTAGTGCTATCAACTTATGTTAAACTCATCTATGCCTGTAGAGACAATGCACTTGGCATTGTTTAATTTAGACACCGAAGAAACAGGTGACACTGTAATTTTGTTTTCTGATTTTAATTTTGTTTTGGACCAACTGATCAACTGACCCTTCTTGAGAGGCAGAAATATGAGAACCATAAGGGATGCCCTTATCGTAGCTTGCTTGTCGGAACAGTGTTTTCAATAATGCATGTCGCTGTGAACATGCTGTGTGAACATAATGACAATTGGTCCTGAATAATCGATCACTGGTTTCATGCATGGTTGCTCAAGGACTCCAGTGAGTGGCTGTTAATTTGACAAGTGGTTAGCTCTATTCTGCTGACATCGACTGTCATGATTAAGTTATGATCCATGACTATATCATGCGGCTGTCTCATTCTTTGGCTAATGTGCTTTGAAATTCTTCCCTGAGGCTGAAAACTGAATACTCCCCCCCCCAAAAAACCCCCAAAAAAACAACCCCCCCCCCAAAAAAAAAATAACCAACCAAAAAACAAAAAACAAAAACAACAACTCCAAGCAAACCCATCAAGATATAAATAACATAAAGACACAAATTAAACTGTAAAACCATAACAAACTACAAACTTTTTGTTCAGTTTTGAGAATGGTCAAATTTTGAACCAATGTATTAGTTGGATAGCTTCATTGTGTTTCAAATTATTTAAAGTAAAGAATTAGGAAACATAACTTACAATGAAGAGGAACGTAAGGCCAAAAAAAGTCTCTGGTTTCTGGATTGGAGCCTGCCCCAAAAGTGGTGCGGCCACGCGGCTTATTTTTTTTGTACCTGTTTTTTTTCCTTCAAATGTCAGCTGATGACTGCAAATGGTGCCCAACTAAACTTAGTGCAAATATATGGGCGTCCATAGAGGCCACATAAAGTTTATACTCGATTGTAACCCGTTCTAAAAACACGTTCAAATTGTGCTGCAGCAGGATTCCAGTCAAACCAGTGAGTTTGCTGTTTTGAGACATCATCTTTCTTTGAAATTGTTTTTTTCATTTTGCCGACGTGCATGGCTACGGCGACGCGTGCGCATACCAGAAACCGGAGACTTTTTTTTTGGCCTAAGGTCATGAAGATGAAAATTTGACTTGGTTTGGTCATGGGGTAGATTAACCTGCATGACCAATGGGTATTGTGAACCCTGCTTTATACTGGCAAGAGGGTCTATTGCTGCTGTGCTGTCAGTAAACAATTTGTAGAACGTTCAAAATTGAAGGCAACGTTGTTTTGCAACTGATAGCTCAGTTGGAGGTCGTGAGTAAATTCTGGGTAGATTGAATTCAGATTAAGCTTTTGTGCTCCTGGAGGGTCTTTGCCCTTTTATTCAGTAATATTTATGCTGAGGTGACTTTGACCTCATGGAATTCAGTAGAATGGACTGTCTGTTGTAAATTGTAATAGATAACAGAGCTTAGTTATTTTAAAGAGATTGAAGTGGTGTGTAAATGTGATTTCTGGATTCACTCAAAATAAGAATACAATTTCAAAAGTGAAATGCTTATTAGCACTTGATGAATTATAAACTTTTGCTTTAGAACTTTTCACCAAAAAATGTTAGGCAACATTAAGCGACTATGAAAATATAGATATGTAGATAAATCTTGAGCAAAAAAAAACCAAAAAAAATTCTTTGCTTGAAGAAAAACTGTCTGATATTTATGTATCTTTTTATTCTCTGTCCTTAATTGTCCTTAATTGCAGGAACATCTGTGTGAAATGTTTTCCTGCAACAGGCTGATTACCGTTCCTCTAATTACTTACACAAAATTGTACAACCTTGGTGAATTCATCATAAATTGCGGCTTGAATGATGCTACAAAGCATCTTAATTGATCCCTGACCAATCAAATTAAGGAATTGATTTTTACATTTACCTTGGACTGATGGTTGCTAGGATACCATGGAAGCCTAGGCATATGAGTTAATTTCCCTTAACTCATTTTTTTTGGCCAGTTGATCTGTTACAAAGGACAGTAGTACAATGTCAAACTATTATTAAGTTGCAATGAATCAATTTTCACACTAAAAGAGGGTTTGTGCAAATGAGCTAATTTAAAAGTTGCTTTGTTTTGATGCCAGTAGACAAGTTGTCTCTGTAAATTATTGTTTGGAAGTATGACTTGATGCATAATTCTAGCAAAATGATTGTGGGGGAAAGGTAATAAAAAACTCAGACTTGTCATGCTTGTTGGCTGGACATACTGTAGGTTTGGGCAAAAATTCCCTGGTTTGTTGGCCATCCAGACCCAGAACACGATGTGAATGGCAAAAAATGTTGAATCACCTCCCCACACCCCGTCCCTCCCCCACAAACAAAAATACAGATGGGGGGGGGGATTCTTGCAAGGTTGGGCTGAATCAGCTGTGACACTGGGGCACAAAGGTGAATGCAAATTGAATTGAGTAAAAAGTATTTTTACATGGACTTCATTGCACTGTAATTTGTCTGGATTTTTGTCCCAGCTGGAGCAGAGACACCAGATACCCTACAAGGGGCGCTTGAGCCCAGTGGCTGCCCTCAAGAACAAGAAGAGTAGTGTTGCAACACTCAAAGACAAGGAGGTAGGTTGGTGCTGAGAAAGTTTCTGAGTTCCTGATTGTTGAAGGAGTCACTCCAAATTGTCAGTCTTGAAATTGAGATACTAATCCATTGTTGCTTTCATGTTTGTGGCATTGTTGTCTCCGTTACATGAAATGATTTTTAGTGCTTTTTATTTAGAAGCAACAGAAAAGGAAAACCATGTTTTGTTTGTACAGCTAATGGTACTATTGCAATCTCCAATCCACAGAATGCAGAAAGTTGCCAGACGGCGTGGGGCTCACCGACTTCCACCCCCAATCTGAATGAGAACAGGCCTGCAGCCGATATAGCCAACAGTAACAACAGGCTAGGGGTAGGGGGCTCAATATCACTACATCTGACCACCCCTCTGAGTCCAGTCAGGGCAGGCAGGGGGCTACCCCAGTCCTCTATGAACCTACAGAGGCTGCAAGACGGTAAGAAGTAATCTCAAAAATCAATTCTGCCATAGACGACATTGATGACAGTATCCACTGCTATATCATGTATATATCAGATTGCAACCAGCCAGACATAGCTAGCAGTCCGGGGAGTGATTAAGATGTCTGCAGTAGTAAGTAGGAGGTCATGGGTTCGAGTCCCTCCTGGGTGTTTCCTCACAAGCTCTAATGAGACAGCACTTGGTGTAATAAAGCTCAGAAATATGTCTGGATTTTTGCCAATATAATATTTATAGCTAAACTTAACATTTTTATTGTTTTTTTTCCCATTCTATCTGTAGGACCTTACTCCACGAGTGGGGCAAACTTGGTTTTGAAACGACAAAAGGCTCTCCCTAAGCCCAAAAGTTTTGGCATGCACAAACGGAGCTCAACGCATCCTATAGATGGTAAGTTCTCTGATGATAGCCATAATGAACAACTAAAACAAACACTGCTATACTGAACATTCCCTTTATAATGAGCATGGGTTTTTGCTCCCAATTTTATGAGTAATTATAGGCTCCACGCACAATTACCCCCTCACTCGGTTTAATAAAAGGGTGTTGGCAGCATTGCTATCATATGCCGTATCACTTTCAGAAAAAATAATACTGAGGACTGCCTTTCATATGCGCATGAATCAATGTGCATCAGCGATGTGTCCTTAATTCCTACGGAACTCTCACTAGAAGTCAGAAAAAGTGCAATCTACTGCTGTTGTACTGAGCATTGGTGACTGAAAACCAATATAATGAATGAATACTGTACTGAGAAATCTTATGTAGACCCAATTGTGTTTATAGTGTCCTTCTGCTGTAGTACATGTATGTCAGTACTGCGTTCTGGAGGTTGCAGGTGCTAATCCTGCCCTAGTGAAGTTCACTGTAAAGCCTTAAATTGATTATAATTGATTGATTGATTGAATCAGGTGCCAGTAGTGACCCGCTAGAGACCACCACCACCTCCCAGCCCACCAACCATCAGAGAAGTAAGACAGTGACTTCCCCTGAGCCTGGCTCTTCCCCTCGCAATAAAGTCAAGAGTCTGGTGACTAGGACGGCAGCACAGAGTGGAGAGAGACTCAGGCTAGCCAAGCTGACGGCAGAACGGGCAATGAAGGTTGGGCACCAGACTAGTAATACTGTTTTTACATTTAACCCAATACAACAAAATGGGTCACAATGTCCCAAGAGCTTCGTTTGAAAGTTAAGACTCCTTTTGTGACACTTGGTCACATTTAATGACAGTTAAGCATCCATGAGCAATGTCAGGCAATGGCCATTAGTCTACTGGTGGTTTATTCATGCACATGCTCACCAACAGAATCTTGTGAACATCTCTTATAAAAAATGTCTTCTGAAAACTTCTTGATCTGACATGTACATTGTAGCTCCCTGTTGTACATTAGGATGCACACAGCTATTGATCACTGATACCCAGGCTCTGGTTGCACATAGTTGACTAGAGGGCAGTCCAACCATCCTATGCTCGATTGCAGTTAGTCAAACTATGGTCAACCACAGTCCTTGCTAGAATTTGCTTCATGATTTAGTTAACAAAAATATTGCTCCAATACAAAACACCTGCATTGTGCAAATGAAGTCGCTTTTTGGCATGCAAGAGTGCACTACAACTTTTGTAACTGTTGCAGCTGCCAAACAGTTGTAAAGATCGATGAAACTAAACAATTTTTATTTTAAATGGTTTTCTTTGGCAGTTAAAGAGGGTCTTCACCATTCAGGGTCCCTATCCTGTGGTGAGAGAATGCCTGCGATCTCGAGACTGGGTGGAGAAGCAGTACCGATCCATGGCCCCCCACAAAGTCAAGAGGAAACAAGGCAGTGATGACAATGACACAGATGACAGTGACAATGACGATGATGACGGTAAGACCATATTAGTGATGGGAGAAATCAGAGATTTCTAAATCCGGTTATCCTGCTTTTTTTCAAACTGAATAACTATTATCCAGTTTCACCAGAAGTTCCCATTCAGTTGTCATGGGTTGTTCTGCTGAGAATGGGTAGGAACTCTCTGATGGGTCGAATGGGCAGGCTATTAGCGAACCTAGAAGACTGCTAGCGAGTGAGTGCAGTTACAATCAGAGACCATGGAGCAAATTGTGGGATGTTCTAGTTGTTTTCTTTAGCTTGTGTCACAAGAAAATGGAAGGCTTGATTTGTTTTTAGGTTGGTTTTGAATATTCAGTTTTCCAGACACAAATCAAATAGTGCAATTCAAAAAGTAAATTTTAAAAAAAGCAGATTTTAATCGCACCTCCAGTCCATATTTTCCACGTTGGTTTTATTTTGGAGCCCGTAGCTCAAACTCTATTTGCACCTGATTTTCATTTCCCATAAGAAAGTCACGTTGAGGTTTGAAATTAGAAAATCTGTTGTAGTGGCAATATGAGTTTCCTGGGTCGGCTTTTGGAAGCAAGTTGTAAAAATGCCATTTGTAGGATTTTCACAGTGACATATCAATGACATTTCAATGTGATTTTGTTTGTCTGCCACTCAGATGACAATAATGATTCTCCTGACACGGGTGTCACTGCAGACAGTGATGACGATGACAACGGATTAGGAGATTCAGATGACATGTATGGAATGATGGTCAGTATTTACATTGAGAAAAAGCTTGCCTATAAAGAGCATGTGACGAGACTTATTCTATTGAAAAGGGTTGCGGTAATATTCAGAACCAGAGATGTAAACTTGATGTTCCATTCAAGTCATAGACATCTTAAAAAACCTAGACCTGACTTCCCTATGCTTTTATGTTGCTTCTGGCAACAAAATGCTGCTTCCTATAACACCATGGTACACGAACCCTCATTGTGATTGTTAGTAACGCACTTTATGTGACCGTCCTCTTGTATGTTTAATGAGCCCACAATATTGTTTGCGTCTCGTGGCAGTTATTGGCTGCAGCGTTTTGTGGTCAGAAAATTCAGGCAAATGTCAGGTCTATGTCTTTTCAAGATGTCTGTGATTCAAGTATGCTGTGTTTTCCATCAGGAGAATGCCTAAACTTTAGACATGTTACAGACTTTATACATGAGATGGGGTCCATTGTCTTTGAGAAATTCCCTCTTTTCAGTCTATGCATTCTCCTGGTGATCATGGTGATGGTTATTAAAAACACCTCTGGTTGTCCTCTCAACCACTTCTAATTTTGGAGTTAGTCCAGTGACATGTTCATTCACAGACTTCTACTCTCCACCATGCAATACTGAACACTTCTTCATTGTCTGCTCTCATCATTTGCTCGACTTTCACATTAAAGTGCCTGTTCACATTTGAAGCGTCGTTTGTGACATAACCAGAAAGAATTAAAATAAATATATGAAATAAAGAGACAAACCGTAAGATATTGTGTTCTGTGCCACCAATTACCCCATTGCAAAAAAACAAGTATGAGCCCTTCCATTGCGGTTACGTGTTATTATATTTTTTTATTTTACAGTCAAGAATGGTCCGAAACAACGATCCATTTTTCATTTGGACGTGTCGCAGAGACACCATCAACTTTAGGTTCTTGAGGAAAGAGACAATTGTCAACCATTTTGCCAAGAATGGAGCGTTTACAACCAAGGTGAGATGGGATAAAGAAAAAGAGGTTTCTAATTTTGCAGAATTTCAGACTGCAAAAATCCAACTTGATTCAGCAAACCAGTGGCATATTATTTGAACTTAAATCATGCTAATAAAAGTTACGGCTTGCGTGTTTAACAAGTACATGTACGCAAATGTTGCAGCTTTAAATCTTTGTGTGCGATTATTTGATACATTGACTCAAAAAAGTGACTGCTTTAGATAAGCCGTTTTATCGACTTGAATGTAAAAGGATGTTATTTAAATTCCTTCTAAATAAAACAACTTATTCTGTACCAAAGTTATTAAGTGAAAAAGTTAAATGCATGACTGGAGAATGACGAACTGGTGTTTTTTTTATTGTTACAGACTGGCCTGTGTACCCATCTACGGAACCTGAAGTGGTATGAGAACATGGACGCTGATACCTTCTATCCACGCAGCTACAAAATCTGCATAGAGGAAGAGAAAAATGCATTTCTTGGTGAGATGACAGATTATTTAGATTATACAGTTGACCCTCATTAGTACAAACACTGTTAATACAAATTTTGGTTATAGCAAACACAAGGCCTTGGTCCCGATTGTGCATTTATGTGCACAATGAATGGGACTGATGTTCCTCTTAATACAAACATATTGGCTAGGTTTGAATGAGTTTGTATTAACGAGAGTCAACTGTATATGGAACCTGCTAAAAACTAATTAAACTAAAGCAGTTTTATCAGAATAATTTAAAACTTTGCTATCAGACATTGACAGACAAATTTCCATTTTTTTTCCAAACAATTTTTTTCCTGTTTTTATATTGAATGCGTCAGCTAAACAATGATTATATCTAATTTTGCCTCTAAAGCTGAGTGCTTCTTCTTACATTTTTAGTCTCCATTCTTAATTTTTCTTTTGCTTCTGACTGCAAATGGAGACCTAATAATGATACTTGTTTACACTTTTATAATAATTTTTAAAAATTATTATGTGTCCTTCTTAACCCCAGATGACTACAGACTGACTGCTGCCTGTAGCATTTTGAAATGGGTGGTACAACGACACAACGGCGAGCTGGACGTGCCAATGGACGACAATGAAGACATTCCAGACGAAGACAATACCACCAAGTCTGACGCTGAGGATGCGACCCTCTCGCCACGGTCCCAATCCAAGCTGGCTGGTCAGTCCAAGGCAAAAAGGAAAACGAACCCTGTCCTTCCAGCCTCCCTGATTCGGACTGCCTCTGACATCGTGGATAACTATCTGAATGATGTAACACATGAATTTCTGGACAATAATGTGGACGTCAGTGACCTCATGACAGACAAACAGTGGGATGAGTTTATTCGACAGTATTGCCAACTTATTTTGTAAGTTATGAGCTGTTTACTCTTTTATTGGTTATATTTTTATCAAGTTCATGTTGAAAATATCTTATGTCTAGTTCTCTAAAAATGTTCAGTCTTTGAATGTCCACAAAAAATTATCAATCCCTGGAAAAAAGTTTCAATTGTGAATTTTTGCTGTAAGAACTTGTGTAAAAAATGATAATAATTAAAAAAATTGTGTTCATCATCAAGTAAAAAATTAAATCTGCTGACTGCTTTTTGATGAACACCATTTGGCACAGAATCTTTGTGTATCTTACTATAATTCCAGGAATCTCTGTCTGTCTGTCTGTCCGTCGATTATCTCCAGAACCGGGCACCGTATGAAGTTGAAAATCGGCGGGTATATTTTTCGGGACAACAGAATGTGCAGTGCAAAGTTTGAAGTTGTTTGGACCAGCGGTTCTCGAAAAAGCTGCAAAAAGCAGTATTTTCTGAGGCAAACGTGGCAGCTTAGAACATAACACCACGCACTGCCGTTCTTTTCAATTGTTACGTCATGTTTAAGCTAAAGCGCGCGTGCTCAATATGACGCAAACAATGCAAAAAGGACGGGCACGCGCACGTGCATTGCAGGGCGATACATTGTCCAGTATGGGTGAATACTAATGGCTCAATGGGTGAATAGCACTGCATACCATGTTTCCGAATCTACACGGGCACATTATTTTTGAAGTCGACTGAGCGACCATTGTAGGTGGTCGAACTTCAAACTTGGCACAAACTTTGACGTAAGTGTGCCTTCAACCTGTGAAAACAACACCATTGAATAGCGTGCGTTGTTTGCACGAGCAGTTCTCAAAAACTCTGCAAGAGTATGCAACCTACACCAGCGGCAAAGCAATTTGCGTTTCCCGAACATGCACATTTTAGACGGGCACTGCACTAGTTACTACAATTAGATTTAATTTCTTCTCTCATAAACAGTGAGGGTGGTGTCATAGCCGAGTCTAGCAATCACAGTGCAATGTGCGAGAGTCTACTGAACAGGGTACGGGCCGTCCTACCCCAGCTGGATATGGACGGACTGCGCAATATCTGGATCATTAAGCCTGGAGCCAAGTCTAGAGGCAGAGGTGAGTTCAAAGGGCAAAGGTCAATGACTCCATGAAGACATAGGCCTGTTTGCATTTCTTGTCTAGAGCAACTGTCTAGATCTCCCATTACAAGTATGGTGGAAAGTGTTGATACTAGGTGTTGGCATACTTCTGGAAGCCAGTTTCGGACACGACCAGAGTGTGCAATAAGCCAGTTCGGTATTTCAATGACCTGATGTCATTCGGAATAGCATCGCTGATGTGATGTTACGCAATGTTACACGCACGCCCATTCTGCTGGTAATTTACACGCAAGCGTCATGCGTCTTCGAAACGTTTGATTATCCTGAATGACCCGTTACCCATATCATTGTGCACATGCACAGTTGAAATACCAAACTGGCTTATTGTCATTGTTCTGGCCGTGAATTTTGCAGTATCCCCATTGGTACGTCATTCTATTTGAAACCACATGTAGAGATTTGACAGTTTACATGGGAATGGCAACAATAAGACAAAGTTTGCCTTTTGAGGTGGCAACAATAAGACAAAGTTTGCGGTGCCACCGCAAACCTCCTCTTCCATTAAGAGAATTTACAGACATTTTCAAGAAAAAGAAAATGCACTCTGTAAACTTTGTACATTTGTATGCACCTTCCAAATCCATTTTGTTAAATTGCAAGCTTGCCTTAAAAGGAAGCAGAAGTTGGCATTGAAAAGAGAACTATATATAAAGTCCAAAGATTCTGAAATTTAATGACCTTATCTTGTACTAAATTTGTCATGCTGAAATAGGCAGCTAGGTGACTCTCTGAGATGTGACTGTTCTTTCTCAGGTATTATCTGCATGAACAAACTAGAGGAGATCCTGAAACTAGTGGGCAACCCAACCATCGTCAAGGAGGGCAAATGGGTCGTCCAGAAGTACATAGAGCGCCCTCTCTTGATCTACAACACCAAGTTTGATATTCGGCAGTGGTTCTTAGTGACTGATTGGAACCCGTTGACTATCTGGTGGTATCAGAATAGTTACCTCAGGTTCTGCACTCAGCCCTTCTCACTGGACAATCTAGAATCGTGAGTAGTCTTCATGTTTAGCATCTTGTCTGGGGAAATAGAAATATTCTCAGTTGCTTCATGCCAAGAAATTGAGATACAAACCAGTTTGATGAGTCTAATTGACTCTCTCAAGACCATGTTTGAATGTTTGAATGATCTTGGAAAAGAAAACAATTAAAAAATGTTTTACATGATAAAATGAAACCATCATTATGAAGTATCCACTGACCATGTATATATGAGATTCCTTAAGTTATTTGGAGATACGTTAAATATACTTTATCAGTGGACAAGTACGTATTTTATTTAATAACAGTTGTGTACATGTACAATGTACTGAGTACTTCCGTAGAGTGCAATATTGTGTTGCTGCTCAGATTTAATGTTTAAAAGCTGACAAATTTTAGTCTTAAACCTTTATGAATTCAAACAGAGTCACAGCCTTGGTGTACAAATAGCATATACCATGTCATTATTCACTTCCTGAAATATGGTTGGTGTCATGAAACAATGATCTAAAACAATATCTGCATGTCTTAGTCAGTGTACTCTGATTCTCTTCAGAAAAAAAACATTCATTGTCTTGATGAAATTTATTACTCTTTTCTCAACAGGGCCATCCACCTTTCCAACTTCTCGGTCCAAAAGAACTTTGAGAATTCTGCGGCCCGCTCGGTGATGCTACCAGATGAGAACATGTGGACCAGTGAGGAGTTCCAGCAGTATCTCAAGAACCGAGGCTGTGGCAACGTATGGCAGGATAGCATCTACCCAGGCATGAAGAAGGCCGTCATTGCCGCACTCCAGTGCACGCAGGACGTTGTGGAAATGCGCAAGGTGCGTTAAGCCACGTCTGAATTATTTGACTACGGCCGGCAGTATTTAACACACTTTCCCATAGATCTCTCCATTAGGACGTCATCTTCATAGGAAAATTACAACTGCATATCCAACGCCATCATGTGCGTATGTGCGCAGTGTGCAAAAAGTTCTAAATGCGTGCATGTAGCTTGACATTTCTTCAAAATGCGGCGCAGCCGATGCGTGTTACGAAAGTTTGACGGCCAGAATGCTGATGCACGTGGCAGTCTGTGTGAGAGAGACCTATTGGATGTGGCTTTTAGTCTCATCCACAGGCGCATTGTGAGCTCTAGCCATAAGAGCTACAGTCATGGTCTGTGGTGACATGTCATGTTTAGCTTTGTGCTTGAAAACATGCGCCAGTTTACTGCTGTCTGACTGACTGAGTCACTGACTGACTGACCGACTGACGGAGTCACAGAGTGTTAATGATGTCCTAAAATAAGATTTTTAGATCCAGCTTGACCAGGTAAGCCTAGTGTTTTTTTGTTCAAGGCACCCTGTCTTCAACACTCTTCCTTTCTTTCTGTGCCAACAGAACTCCTTTGAGCTATACGGTGCAGATTTCATGTTAACTGAAGACTTCCAGCCATGGTTGATAGAGATCAACTCCTCCCCAGCCATGGGTGCTACGACTGAGATCACAGAGCAACTATGCCATGACGTCATCGAAGACACCATGAAGGTAGTGCTGGACCGACGACATGACAAGAACTGCGACACAGGAAAGTTTGAACTGGCCTTCAAGCAGGTAAGGCTGTGTTCAAAATGGGCCTGCAGAGCTACAGCTTCATCTGTTGTCATCATTCCCACGTTGATTTAATTGTCAGAGACAGTAACTGTAGACAAAAGATTCAGACAGGGCCTTAGTTTGAAGAAGCAGGTGAATTGCCTTTTAACCAAGCTTCTCAAATTGTAGAATTGTGGCATCATTTTGAAGGTGTTTTGACCTCTTGCCTCTCTCTCTTCATTGTCCAGCACCAAGTGACTGTTCCTCCTTATGTTGGTGCCCAGCTGTGCATCGAGGGCACCGGTCTACGTAACCCATCTCTCCGTATACACCGGCAGCGAAGCCAGCCTAACATCATCAGCCCGCGACAACCTGACACAACAGTGGTCCTGCGGAAGACCACTAATAACGGCAGCAACCTGCAGACCAGTCCCAGGAGACTCAGTCAGGGTAAAGTTGAAGCAACCCCCATGGGGCTCGACCCGGAGCTGATTAAAGCGACTAATCTGGAGGAAATGACACGTAAACTAGCAGGTATTAGCAAGGATGACTTAGATCTGATTAGGAAGACCAGCCGCAAGGGTAAAAAGGGGCGGCGGAAACGCACCTTTCTCTTGCCAAATGTCAGTCAAGAGAGCGAGGCAGTAAGGGAGGAGCTCAAACTCCGCTCTGTTACCGTCAAGGGGACTGGGGTTGAAGGCAGCCCCCCAGTCCCCGAGCAGCGTTATGGCATACAGCCAACCAAGTCCCTCAAAGCTTACACAATTTACAATCACAAAACAAAAATTAACGGCCACTCAACAGCCGAGCCCACAACTCAAACAGGAGAAATTCCGAACATCGGAAGCTTCCACCTCGGCCATCCTAAAAGGCCTAAAAACCCACTGGTCAAGCACGGCCAGTTGACCAATCCTAAACTGAAACTACAGCACCATAACCCTGACAGCTCCGAGAAGCATTTTGTCATTGGGCCTAGCGGGGTGTCAGTCTACTCCAGTGCTTAAATAACAAAATTAAAATACCCGTTTCAGATGGGCATTCCAGAGCCACACTGAAGCAAGTTATTCTGCAAATTTGAATGAAGTACATGAAGAGTTTGTTTGAATCAGGAGTGACTGGGTTGAAAGATCAGCTGTTGAAGTTGTCCTGTCTAGTCAATGGAGAATTAAAAAAAAAAGGTTTGTCTCTCTGAAACCAAAATCTATTGGCGTCGGCCCGAGTTACTCCTAATACCGTTTGGTTTCGTGTGACTCTAGAATGCCAATGTGGATGTAACCTACCACTCTATACACCATGCAGTTATGACTAGGCTGCAAACTCACAGCAGCAAGTCAACTCATTGGTGATTAGGATCATTGATAACCATTCAGAGATATTTGTAGACTACTGCCAGCCAGTGTGCAATACTCAAAGAAGCTGCAGTGATGGTGCCAACTTCAGTCTTGATTGAGTGGACTCATTGTACATAGCATTGCAGAAACTCCTCAGTACAGAGGAACAAGTACATTCACATGCCAGTCTGCACAAGCAACGTTTGTCTTCCATCAAAAGCAACTCTCCATTTTGCAAGGAATCAAATTAAGACTATTTTACAATGTTGCCAAAAAGCTTGGAGAATGATAACCGGGCTGTTTCCTACGCATTAGAATGCTCACTAGGTTTGGAGAATACTTGAAATGTTTTGATGAGCTTAGTGTTCACCCTTTAAGGGTGGAGAGTTAGTCAGGAGAGATATTTGTTCAGTCTGGGTCACTGAATTGGTCAGATGACTCATGAAACAAAAACTACCTCAGATGTGATGTTTTGTGATCTCAGACCATGAACTTCAACTGCTTAAAGCAGAAGCATCAACAGAAGTTTAAGATGTGTCCATAGAAAAAAAAGTTAAACATTTCTTAAGATACTGGATGTGTCACAATCATTACATATTTTGCTGATGTTTGGGAAATGTAAATGTGTAGTAGGCAGTAGTAGTAGGTCTACTTTGATTCAGTAAGTTGTAGTGTACATGAAGATTTACAATTGGATTGTCCAAGTAACTTTGTACATGTACATAATTAAGAGTATATACATTTATATTACATTGTTCTCAAGAATTGTTCTTGAAATTTCAAGTATTATATCATGACATCTGAAATAACTACAGCAGTAATTTGGGTGCAGTGGATCAAAGATACTTATAGGGCTTTTAGATTTTTTTTTTAGAAAGAATTACCTCTTCTTACTTGAGTTTTGATCTAAATCAAATTGACAAATCAGTCTATTTTCTGACATGGTCTGGACTTTGGGCAGAGTTTTTTTGGGCTTTAGAACTATGCAAAAAGCTGCATTGTAGACCGACAGATGTGGAAATGTCACATTCACTGTTTGACTCAACCATCAATCATTGTTTGAAATGTCTGTTTGTTAACACATTGCCTTTTTTTATCTTCCATGTTCATTAATTCCTTGCATGCACCAGGCCCGATGGGTACTGTTCAGGTAATTGGAAACTCATCTGGGCTTATTACGTGTAGTCATTCTTTACATGTCGCGTTCTTTCAGCTACACCTAGCATAATGATGCAAAGTACTTGTCAGAACTTGGAGAATATTTTGCTCCTATTTCAACATTCTTCTGACTTAACCTGATGGAATTGTAATCTAAGCACAACTACGCCGAGTATTTGCATAGTTGTATTCAGGATGCATTTGGTACAGACACCCGGTAAAACTGCATTCCTTTGTGCAAAATTTCTCAACTTTTAGAGAAACAAAAGAAAACACATTGAAGACAGGCATGCAACTTTTCCTCGGATCCGCTGATTTCCTTGTTTTTTACTCATGAATGCCATTGCAAATTGAAAAACACTGTACAAAGTTGTGTTGTTTGGAATTTCCTCGTTTTTTTTTAAATTCCCAGTTTCATTCCTGAAAAGACGAACATTATTTAATTTCAGCATTCAACAGCTTCTCACAAATGTGGAGATTGAGAACTGTTGCCAGGGCTGTCTGTGTTTCTACTGCTGTTTTATGTGTATCTTTTTTTCACTTGTGTTTTCTTTATTCAGTTTGATTTGATTCAAGCTTTGGTAAACTAAGTTGCGTCTGCTACTAATCTCTCTTCATGCATCTGTGCTCTTTGTAGCTCTTTCACTTTTGCTCTCAAATTGACTGAATGACTAATTTAATTCCATGTAAAAACTAATATTTCTCGTCATAACCACAATTTGATCCCAGTTTTTCCTCATTCATCCTAGGATTCCTTGGTAATTGTTGCTAATTCCATTTTAATCCGCGCCCATCCCATATGATTCAATTATCCCCCACTCCCTTCCAGTGATTCCATACTAACCACCATCCATCCCAGGATTCCATGCTCACCCATCCACATTAACCCCCATCCATCCCATAATTCCGTTGTCACCCCCTCCCTTCCCATGATTCCATATTAACCCCCATCCATCCCATAATTCCATGCTCACCTCATTCCCATCTGTTTGTTTCCATTGCAGCATCGTCTGCGCTTACGCAAGCTCAATCATCACATGATGACATTACGCAGCGAGATAGCCAGCATGACACAAGTTGTACGTCAAAATATCTATTTTGATTGCTTCTTTCCTAAAATGTTTCAGAAAAAAAATGAAGACAGTTTAAATTTAAAGTGAATGTTCAATACAACACACATTTTTCCGATCTTAATTAAAGGTTTTTTTTAGTTTAATGCAGATTGAAACTCGCTAGTCCTAAAAAAATTGTTCTCCCTGTTTTAATGACTATTTTCATCTGAAATGGACAAGGGAAAAGACTTTGTGTTTTCATTTGTTCATTGAGATGTTCAAGTCTAAATGACAGTTAGATTTTGGACTTGCCATTTGATTGTATAACCACAATTTCTAAGAAAAGTTGTTTTGGTTCTAAACATTGCGAAACAAAGTCATCTATCTTGAAAACCCACAAAGAACCTAAAATATGTTTATTTCAGTGTTAAGTCCTTAAAGAATTCATCTCCTATTTCACAACAATGTACAATGTATACTCACCTTCTTCACAAGTACATTGTGGAGAATTACGTCACATACATGTTATTGTTTAATTTTGACTAGCATGGCAATAACCATTCATATGGGAATGCAGGCATCACTCATTCATATTTATTTTGTTTTCCCTTCCCTCCCTCCTCCATCTTTCCTCAACTTATCCTCCATCACCTCTGCCTCCTTGCTTCTCCTGGGAACTCATCTCTGTCTCATCATCTTTTGTAACCATGGTTACCTCCCTGTATCCATATCCATCGTTGCTATGGTAATCCTGCATCTGTTTCATCTCATTTTTTGCTCCTCCTATCTCACCGCCCATTGTTGCATCTTCGCAATCTCGTCCATCTTGTCCTTGTATTTCAATCTTGACATGAAACAGCAGCAGGGATTCTAGACGGAGCTTGGGGCAGCTCATGCCCCCATTGCAATACCGGCATCCCAGGGGTAAAACTAGAGGCCGATAAAACGGCAACAGACTGCACCTGCAGACAAGACAGTGTGGTTAACACCCCGGTCAATGACAGAACTAGCCAGCCCAACTCCGGTTACCAGTCACCGGTGGCAGGGTACCGATCGCCAGAGCTGATCCCTCGTAGTGGGACCTTCGTCAGCAACAGGCAGGGTAACTTGGTAACACTAAGCGGGCCGGACCCGATCCAAGGGGTGCACAAAGTGGGTAGAGCGGCCTTCCTGGCAGGCCGAACCCGTCCCAATGTCAATAGGCAACGTAGAGAGTCTAAGATACATGTACAGATAAGAGGTGGAGAAGTCAAGGTACCATGCGGGACTTACCCTTTTACAGTCTCCAGTAGTTACATCATGTAAACAAACAAAAAATACATTAAAAGAAATAGAATTATGCAGATATCATGGCTGAGTTTGGGAGGCTGAAAAACAAATTTGGTTTGAAAATGTCGGATTTACTGAATGGTGTGCAGTGAATTTAAGGCATTTAATAATACGTTTGTGTTTAAAAATACCTTTTACCAAATGCAAGAACTATTACAAAAAACTGTAAAGTCTTAGAGTGTGTGCTCATTCATTATTTTTTATTACAGTTTACAGAAGAAGTAACATTGCTTGTTCATTTAAATCATTATTTTTTGCCCAAAATGCCTAAACTGTAATCTACCAGCAAAGCTTTGTTTTGTTATATTTTATCAATTGATTTGAGTACATGTATACACCAAGAGTATGTAATCAAATAAACATTGTAACTATCAGAATTATAGTACCATTGAAATATTGAATTCTTAAAGATTTGTACATTGTTAAATGTATTTATTACATTAAAATACGGTTCAACGATTCATTTTTAGACAAAACCAAAGTTAGGATGTGATTAATTGGTTGCCATTTCAGGTAGAACAAACTAAAGTACATTCGGGCCCCATTTTTTAGTCAGAAAATATTGTTTTTATAATGCAGCATAATTTTATTGCTGGATTAAGAGTAACAAGGGTATTATAATACAAACAGTAGAATTCAAATTAGTTGCTTTTAGAGGAACTTGAAAAATAGAATTAGCTGTTGCAAACTGCTTCCCAACTAAAAGGACCTATGGTATAAATGCAAAAAAAATAGTTAGTGGCCTGACGTTTCGACCCTAGCAGAGTCTTTCTCGAAGGCTAAAATTTTAGCCTTCGAGAAAGACTCTGCTAGGGTCGAAACGTCAGGCCACTAACTATTTTTAGAGGAACTTCCGAGAAGCAGACATTCATCTGGTAATAAATTGATACTTTTCCTTAGCAGTGAAGTTTTCTTTAAAAATATATTTAAAAAAAGGCTTTGGCATTGCGGGCCAGGCATGAATCATGTTTTGTTCTCAAAAACGAAAACATTTTCCAGCCAATTTGCTGCCTACTTACAATGTAGTCTGCTAGTTTGTTTTGTAGATGCAGGCTACAATTGTCTTCTAAATAACCAGGTTTATATATTTCTGAGTTGTGCCTTTTTAAATGAAACTTTTATAAGTGAACTTTTCAGTGGTAAGCAGCCCATCATCGCACGTATCGCTCTGAAAACAAAATTCTGCAATAACAAAATCATCAATTGCCCACTTGCGATGGTCCCAATGAATATAGAAACTAGGAAGTTTCTTTTGTGAATAACGTTTGACTTGTATTTTATTATGTATAAATCTCTTTGCTGAAAGCAATAAAGGCCATCTTGAAGATGTTTTTAATTTCTTTTCATGTTATTTTGATAATAAATCATGTTACGTTGAATACTTAAATATGTCGTCCACAGTGGGTCTTGATGTTTGTACATGCTTCTTCATTTACAATTACTTGTTTTAGTCATTCTTATTTATTTTTATATTGATATTTGTATTAATCACGATTTTATATCTCGTGCGATGAAGCAGTAGCTGACATGGCCCTATCCAATTTTCCCTTTCTGCTCGGGAACAATATATTCGCCTTTGAGCCTTGTAATGATTTTGTTTTCCGTAATGAAAGCATGCATCTCACAGCATGAGTCTGCGCCCTCCCCCTATTGTTTCCATTCGTTTACGAACGATAAAAAAAGCACGGAGAAGACTAAAACATTTTTTTTAATGTATATAATACCATGGAGGGAGGAATAGACCGATCCCCGGGCCCGGCCTCCTCAAAACCTTTCAATCTACCAAATACCACGTCTTCGGTGAAATGTTGTTTTGTATTAATTTTGTTGAAGACGCGGCCCTGAACTTATCCAGAAAATCCCCCCCCCCCCCCCCCCCCCCCCCCCCCCCCCCCCCCCCCTGTTTGCAGGGCGGGGGTACGAGCGAAATCCACAAATCTGCACTGAACAAAACGCACTTTGGACAGTTGAGGGCGCACTTGATTTGTATGGCAACTTTTGCAGACCAAGCCCTTTTTGCGTACGTGCAATGCAATATAAGGCCTAGGCTTATTGTTTTTCATTACGGAAAAACTTAGTCATATCTCTACAATATTTGACGCATAAAGGTTTTGCAGTTCCAGTTCCAGATTGTTGACTAGTTAAGCCGTTTTTAGCAGACGATGGCCATGAATTCAGCAGCGATGTCTTTCCAGCCTGGCACGGGGAGTGTTCCAGCGACCAGAGTGGAAATCACTGTGTCCTGCAGGTAGGCGGATAGGCCCCACTAGTGTGGCCGTCGGTATGCTGCGCTGAACGGCCACACTAGTGGGGCTAGTACTAGGCGGACAGAATTCCGGTAATCCTTATCGTAAGGACACCTCTCTTTTTTACGACTATACGAGTTCTGTTTAAAACTAACTTTTACCAAAGATGACTGTCCAGTAACAAAATGACTTTTGCAGGCTAATGCAGTCTTTTTTCTTCATATAAACTCATGTTAGTTGTAATTTTGAAAGCACTTTCAAAGAAAATGTGACTTTCCTACCTTTTTTTGCAGTCAGACGTACTCCTAGAACTATGAAATCACGCGGAGCTTCATAGTACTAGTTCTAGGAGTAGGCCTAAGTCAGATGTGCATGTTGTAGTTCTCACAACACGAGTGAAAGCGCTACTCTTTCCACAAAATTAAACCATTTTTGGCATTAAACCTACTGATATTCAAGGTGTCATTGCCAATTGTTCAGATGTGTCAAGAAATATCAGAATGTCAGTTTTGAGTGTCATTTAGTCAACTGTTTTGGTGAGTCTTTCCCTTCCTATATAGGAATGGGGTCCTAAAAGTAAGGATTACCAGAATTCCATACACATGGACATCACTCATTTCCCCCTATATTACATGTACTTTGGTATTTGAAGATGCGTCAGATAGTCCCTAACAGTCCTGAATCCTCCAATTTCAATACGAATTTGCACACCCCCTAGGGAGTTAGGGTTAGCCTGGCATATATTATTGGAAGTCATTCCATCTGACCATAGAGAAAGGACATGATCTGACTGAGTTGATTTGATTTTGAACTTTGAGGGATCAACAAAAGTTTATTACATTTTCATGTAAAACAAAAGGAACAACTGGACGCTCAACCGTTTTATTAGGCCTTTTAACTTTTTGAAAAGGGGACAGTGAAATATCCAGATGGCCTTTTCATGATAAATAACCTCAACAGGCTCAGTGACAGTCTTATGTCGAATATTAAACCATGGGAAAAAAAATAGCTTGAGTAACTCCAGCTCTACATGCTCTAACGCCTATCGCCTTAGAGCTGAAGTTTATACTCAAGCTAGGAAAAAAATGTTGCAACCTGACGCCACTTTTTTCTTCATACATGTATATCATCTCAATGAACATGATGAGAGTCATTCATTGCAAAAGTGATGATAAGACATGAATCTGGGACTGAGAAACATTTCCAATTTTGTTTGGAAATACAATGTACTTAACTTAAAACATGTAAACAATTGTCTTGACTCTCCATAGACTTTGTACACAGTCGCGGATGTGGCGTCATGTTACAATATTTTTTCCAAACCGTGAATTGGAAACATTTCCAATTTGTTCACCAGTTTTCTCAATTGCCACATAGACTTTGTACACAACGATCAAACTGATGTCACGACACAACACGCTGCCCTTTTCCTCAGCTTTCACATGATCATGCAACTTCATTTTGAGTGCTAGTGCATATAGTACTATATTTGTTTTGGCCATTCATATAAACATGTTTATTTTAAAACATTCTGTCATTGTTGGCATTTTTCTGATTTCTTTAATACAGGGATCTGAAGGACAAAGATGTTATGTCCAAGTCTGATCCAAGTAAGTAAAGTGCATCTCGATGTTTTTCAGCACTTAAGGTCCCAGTCTGGTACAGTGCATGCATGTTTTTCCTCTTAATATGCATCAAAAGTTTCATTTTCCAAAGTAAAAGTGAAAGTCGTTCAATTTGGCTTGTTGTGTATTAACTAAGGCAAAGTCAAAAAAATAAAACATGTTTCTCATCCCCTCCCACTCCCTTTTTGGAGGCCGCCTGGATTTTTTTATTATTTGTAATTTTTTGAAAAATGCAGTAAAAAAACACTGAAATGAATCACGACTTTTGGCGGTTAAAGCAAATGCATCTAGAACTATTTACTGTAGACCAATACAACTCTAAATGACGCTGTAAATATGTTCAGTTCTCTTGTCGAACTTGTCTTTCATTTATGATTTTAAAAGTGTCTTTAAACAGTGGAAACACAAACGGTTGCAGGAAATTTTAAAATGGCGGCCATCTTGAAAAAATAAAAATAAAAAATAAAAAGCCCCTCCTCCTCCTTTTTTTCAAAAACCCGAACGAGAAACATGTTTTTTTTTTATTCGGCCTAATATGGACCCAGATTGTACATGTCCATTCCTTTGTAGCAAGCTGTAATTGGCTAAGAAGAAGTACATGTACATGTGATTAGCCATTAAAGAAAATGACGACATCACATATCTCAACCTTATTACACTGTAGTATATTGTGTGCTTTATTTTTGCAGTGTGTGTATTGTATACAACTCAGCTTGGATCGAAGGAATTTGCAGAGGTAGGCAACATGCATTTTGTTCTTATAATTTATTAAAAACAAACAAACAAACAAACAAACACCCCAAACAGTCCCGTAGCTGGCCTGGAGGAAAGGGGTCCGCTCATAAGTCCGACAAAATCGTATCCCCTAACCAAATAAAGGCCCATAAGTCCGACGCCTCATAGGTCCGACGCCTCATAGGTCCGACGCCTCGTAAGTCCGACAAATTAAACGCCTGGTTTTTCCGTTGTCGGACTTATGAGGCTTTGAACCTTTGAGGCAGAATAAATAAATGTTATGCCTCATAAGTCCGATGCCTCATTAGTCTGAAATTTCGGACTTATGAGGCGTCGGACCTATGAGGCGTCGGACTTATGATACGGCCCCGGAGAAAAGGGGGGGGGGGGGAGGGACCCTAAAGTTTACCTTTTAAAATTTGTTATTGAAAATTACCCTATTAAGCAAGGCTATAAAAGCCACACTTGGCAAACTTAAAGGGCTGGAAAGAAAATATGATGAAAAAAAATAATAATCAGGAAAAGTGGACCTTTACAGCACTATCACTACGTCACCTTCCTGATCTTTCGGACAGATCGTGTGGAGACTACACCAGGCCGCACGCCACATAGAACTATCCCTGCGTATCCAGAGAATTCATTTTTTTTCCAAAGATAGCGCGCACATATATTTTGAGTAAAACTTCAATATCAATTTGGGGAAAAAGTTGACCTACTGCTGATTTAAGGGGGGGGGTGTTTTGTTTGACACCCCCCCCTTCTGGCTACGGTCCTGTAAACATGATTTTCTACTGTGAGGCATCCTGCCGAACACAACTTTCTCTCATTCTGTGATTCCAAAAGATTTCAACAACACTATTATTGGTGTTCATTAGGTTAAGATGGCTTGAGTAGGGCTTTGCTTAGCTAAATTAAAATGTACTCAGTTTCAGAATGATAATGGAGGAAATATATTGAGTTTGGATAATTTTCTGTAACCTTTTACACTTTTTCTGTTGTTGCCACAGTATGAGAGGACGGAACATATCAAGAACACTCTGAATCCAGACTTTGTGAAGAAATTCAACTTGACTTACTTCTTTGAAGAGTGCCAGAGGCTGAAATTTGAAATGTGAGTCTGGTCACAACGTGAGAGGACTAGATAAGAGAAAACAGAAGTTTCAAAGAGATTGATATGAATGATTAGTACTGTATTTGATCGGGGTGGGGAAGTTGGGTGTATAGGGGAGGATAGTCTAGTGGTTAGAGTTGTGACTAATGATTAGAGGGTCTGGGTTCGAATCCTGCTGCTGGCCATATGTTGTGTCCTTGGGCTAGCCACCTCACCCCACTTGCCTCACTCTCCCAAGGAAACAGTATTATCTCTTGTTACGTGATTGGTTAAATTATGTGAGTAACTTCTGCTTTCTCTTCCGAATTTGCAAACTTTCCAGATTCGATGTTGACTCCCCGAAGCAGAAACTCACAGCTCACGTAAGTTTGCTACATCTGATTTTGTTTGAGATTAGAACATGTTTCTGTTGTGCTTGACATATTTGGATAACAAATGATTTTTGATTAATATTTGTTTTGGATGCGGTTTTAATTCAGGACTTTCTTGGGAAGATAGAAACGACACTCGGTGAAGTCTTAGGTTCTTCTAATAATCGACTGGAGAAACCCTTAGAGTGAGTATAGAACAAATTGGCAGTGTGGTTCTTTGAAAACAGTTCAAGTTAACTGAGCTGTTTTCTATGTTGACCCTTAAAAATACCCTGTGGCACGTGATCACAGTTGGAATTGAGCTTTACCCATTAGTCTTACCCCAACTACCATGCCTGTTACTCCCTGTACCACCCAAAACCACCAAACTACGTACATACCCTGCATGTTACTCCCTCTACCACCCAAAAACACCCAACTATCCTGTTACTCCCTGTACCACCCAAAACCACCAAACTACGTACCCTGCATGTTACTCCCTCTACCACCCAAAAGCACCCAACTACCCTGCCTGTTACTCCCTGTACCACCCAAAAACCACCCAACTACCCTGCCTGTTACTCCCTGTACCACCAAAATGATCTACCCTGCCTGTACCATCCAAAACCACCCAACTACCCTGCCTATTACTCCCTGTACCTGCTGATTGGGTTATCTGCTTATAACTGCGAATTTATTCTGCCACTTTTGTTTTCAGTGGGGCCGGCAAGAAAGCTGGTAAAATCATCATCTCAGCTGAGGAAGTCAGCGATTGCAAGGTAAGATGACAGTTGTTTGACTTGTTCTTTACCTCTGAAAGATTTGATTTGTCTTCGTCAGCTCAATGTATTCCAGATGTAATTGTCAATTTTCTACGATACATTTATATTTGTCCATCTAGACACGTGCAACGTTAAGCTTCCGTGGTCACAAGTTGGACAAGAAAGACTTTCTGGGCAAGTCGGATCCCTTCATGATCTTCTATCGGTGCAATGAAGACAACTCGTAAGTTGGAGCCAGCTTTTCTGGAAAACTACTGAATCAGGAAAATTTGTTTCACTAACCTAGGCACCTCTTGGCCTAGTCTATGTTCAAGACTAAAGTTGCATTTCATTCATCCAGCTTTGATCCTTGGCAATTGCAGTCAAATGCTGCATTGGTAGAAGGCGCTATATCAACAATATGAGTCATATCCAATCGTGTGACCCTTGGCACCAAACCTAAGAAGTAGAAGTAAGTAGAAGTCAATAGCTCTGAGAAAAACATCTTGAACTGTAAGTTTGAGACGGGTCTGTAACTTTGAAGTTGCCGTCTGTCGAGGGATGGCCTAGTCTTCCGTGCTTGGTGTATCTGTGAAATTGGCCGCTGATTTTGCCATGGAACCATATATTTTGCTGCTTTATTTGGTGACATTTTTCTACAGTGGAGAAATTGTTTAAATCATATCCCACAGATACAAAAAATGAAACCTTCACATAAGCGTTGTTGGATTTTTTATTTAAAGGTACACAATATGCCACAAGACCGAGGTCATCAAGAACACGTTGAATCCAACATGGCGGCCGTTTCCGATTCTTGTGAGGGCGCTGTGTAACGGAGACCACGATCGCACCATCAAAGTGGAATGCTTTGACTGGGACAGCGATGGAGGGTAAAGAGAATTGGAAATCAAATCTTCAGTTTCTATTGGTTTGAAAGTATGGAATACTCAGTGCAGGAAACGTTCATGGTCTGCATGTATGATTGGTATGGCCAGTATAGTTGGTGTGACTAATTTCCAACAAAATGTGTTCTATTCTGTGGCAACTTTGAAGGAAAGGAAAACCAAACCATATTGAAGACTAAAGGCATAGCTACATATACAGGGTCAAAAAAACCGTCCTCTTTTGTGTCATGTGAGTGCTTTTGCTTTTGTAAGAATTAACATGATTAAGGTGACTTGCCACAGAATGAGCCTTTTGTGCACATGTGTGTTCTCTTTGTTGCATAAATAATTTCTTTTGTTTGCTTGCTTGCCCTTTTATTTTTCACAAAGGAGATTTTCAAACCTTGGCATTGTCTCCGGTTTTGGCTCATTACTGTTTTCAGAGTCATTTTGACACCCCATAAAAATACCGTAAATTTTTTTTTAAAAACTTCAAAAACATTGTGTAAATCCTCATTTTCTAGTTCCTTCAGCAGAACATGGACCCATATTTAGCCCGAGTCCCCCAAGTTCAGGGGCCTAAAATCTCTTCAAGCCAAATCCAGAGACAGCTGATAATTTGAATAACCCCTTAAATGTCTTCATGTAGATTGTAATCCGTCAGCCTTTTCCTTTTAAAAGCTGTCAATTAATTTTATGATTTGTAGTTGTGCAAACATCTTCCTGTGTCTTGAGCCTGAAGAATTCTCCTTAACCAATCAGCTGGAGCTTTACATCAGGTTATGGTGTTGGTTTCACTGAACTTCACTCTAATTGGTGGAAAGTTGACAGTTGATGTCACCAGCTACCAATTGAAATGCGTGTTGTAAAGATGGACCTTTACATCAGGCTGAGGTGTTGGGTAAACTGAACTTTACTATTATTCGTGGAACCTTGACAACCTTGACAAATGTTAAATATGAGACGTCTGCATGAAGATATAACCCGGGCAGCAAGCGCTGTTTGTTTTACATTTCATTTACCCGTGCCTTCTTTGTTCCAGTAGCCATGATCTTATCGGCATATTCACCACAAACATGAGGCAACTTTCAACTGGAAAACAGAGCTTTGAGGTAATACCAGTGTATATCAGATTCAAGGAAGTTGACAAGATGATCATGTTTTTAGCAAAGATCAGCCAAGAGCAGTTTAGGTGGAGGAGGCAGGCTATTACATCGGTGGGAGATTCTTTCTAAACCCATGTATTTATCTATCCCTATCAATTGATATCCCTACTTGAGTTTTCTCTGGACCTGAACGGCCAGCCTAATGTCGTTTGACTGAGTCACTGACTGACTGACTGAGTCACTGACTGAGTATTTGACTGAGTACAAATATTGTCCTCAACAGACATTTTGGTTCAGCTAGCTAGGCAAGCCTCGTTTTGTGTTCCTCCATACCGCCTCAACCCTACATCAAAGTCCAGCCACTGTACTATGTGACTTCACAGAGGACTTGAGACTGTGCCATTGATTCAGTTGAATGTTGGCAGATAATGAGCGACGATAATGATGGACAGATAAACTTTGTTTTAATCCAATTTTATCTATTTTGCTATCTAAAGACAAGGGAGCTTGTTTTCATTCTCATTTCTGTCTATAATATTCAGTTATAAATATTCCAGAATGCATTGATTTTCCCCTCAGTTGATAAACCCTAAGAAGAAAGCCAAGAAGAAAGGCTACAAACATTCAGGCACCATCGAGCTAACCAACTGTGTTGTAGAAGAACAACCTAGCTTCCTAGACTACATCAAAGGAGGAATGCAGATCAACTTCACTGTAGCGATAGACTTCACTGCTTCCAATGGTAAGACTATAGTCAACCTTTTCTCAACTGCTCAACTTCAATCCGTTGCAGACTGGTGTGCCAGTGTCGCTTTGAACCAGAAGATTTGAATTAAGTACATGAAAACTGTGAGGTTTGAAAAAGTTAGAAACGATCACATCCACTGATTGACTGTTGCAGTTCAGAACAGCACCAGAGTCTCATGGATGGAAGCTACTACATAAGGGGCCATTCAGCTTAACCAATGGTTTTTTTTTTATAATTGTTTTGACCCACCCAACCCCAAATTTCTATTTTTAAATGTTGAATAACTATTCAATATATCCTATACACTGAAGAACAAAGTAATGCTTCAAATGAAGCAGATATTTTAGGTCAATGTTCTCCCAGCTCAGGAGTTTTCAATGGCTTTTCCAGGCTTCCAGCATGCAACTTTGTACAGGGTGGTTAAAAAAAAAGGACACCCACATTTGACAGCAATTTTCACCTATTTTTAAAAGTTATTTTTAACTGTCGATTAGTGGCTATTAAAGTACTGACCTTTAAGCAAATGTGACGAAAAAAATCGTTGCATTTGTACATTTTGTCGTTGAGCTATGTTGATTTGAACATTTCATGTGCGAAACCTGTTTGTCCACGGAGGTATACATTCGCTTGACTGAGCTCAGCTATCGGAGCTTTATTTAAAGGAGCATGACATTTGATTGTTATGTTATGTTATGTTATGCAACAATGAACTTAACGCACAGCTCATTGAGTAGATGATCTTAACACTGACATGAATAAGTGGACAGCTTCAATAAAAGTAACCAGGGCAAAATATATTTTGGTGGGAAGGTTTTTAATTTTTATGAACTACGAAAACGTCCAATTTACAAAGAATAACCCGTGGACAGGACTGATTTTTGGTGACCTGTATTCAAATTAGCATAATATCTCTATTTTTGCGACTTTTACTAAGCTTTTTTCACCATGCATGGTTAAAGGCCTATACTTTACTACTATGTGAAAAAATATTTAAAATAATTTCATTAAGTTGGTGAAAATTGCTGTCAAAAGTGGGTGTCCTTTTTTTTTAACCACTCTGTAGTTGAAACAGAAGAGGAAATTGCCAAGCACACAAAAATTTGTAAACTGTTTTTCAGTTTCTATAAGGAAACAATTCTCCTGAATAGCAGGCGATTCTTTTCTGAAATTGTTCCATTGGTTACTGAGACCTGGAAGAGGCAGTCTCTTTTGGACTTTGGAGAGTAGACATGTTGTACAAACTAAACGATCATATGGTGATTTCGGCTTCGATATTATTAGCTTTTGCTGTGTACAAAAGTGTTGTAGATCCGGCGGCTAGTTGTTTTTTTGTGGACCGAAATTGCCATTGGTTATAGCCTTGTTGCCATTATAAAATGATTGTACATGTAGATTATTCTGAATGGCCCCTAAAATTCCCTTGTTTGAAACCAAAATCTGTTTGCATTGATGTGTCTTGCTCCTGATATCATGATACAACTCAAGAATGCCAGTCTGAAAAGGATGTGAGGGATTGACTGCTTCACGTTTAACTTTCTTGTGGTTGAGGGTTCTTTAGCCCTTGGTTGTTTCCCTCTTGTTTCATAAATCCACAGTTTTTCTAAACAATTGGTCAGAAATACCTCCAAAAATATTTTTATTTTTTTTTAATTTTTACTATCCTGCTAAAAAAATACTAATTAGGCCTAAATTTTGTTGTTTTCATTTCAGTCTTCAATGGAATAAATAGTTGTTTGAAATCTGTAAAATAATTATCTTGTTGATTTGTTGCTTGTTTTGGTGGTTATCGAAAGATAACTTAAAGATCAGTTTTTGACTGAGAAGTAAACCTTCCTCCAATAAATGTATTATTGATTAATTGATTTATTGATAAATCAGTGAAGGATTTGATTGATCGTGACATTATTTCTTTTCCTTCAAGGTAATCCAACCCACAGCAATTCCCTGCATTATATCAACCCATACCAGCCCAACCATTACGAGTTGGCCATCACGTCAGTAGGTGAAGTCATACAGGACTATGATAGTGACAAGTTATTCCCGGTGCTGGGCTTTGGAGCTAAGATCCCACCTGATGGCTCAGTGTCACATGAGTTTTCTGTGGTATGTGCTCTGTTTTCTTGCTGTTCCCAGAGGGCCAGCCTAGCGCCGTCTTTGTACCTATGTCATTGAATGACTGACTGACTCCCCGACTCATCACTGCTGACTGACTGTCACTCGTTAGTCGGGCAGTGCTATCCATTAGGATTACCCCACAATGCGAGTTAGTTGGCTAAATTCAGCCCATTGTATGGGCTCCGTGCGTCAACAAAGAGGGCGCGTTTTTACCACTTTTGAGAGCTCCGTGGAAGGGACACATAGCGTGTGTGTACTGTAATGTACTGCTTCGTGCGTAAAGTACGCATGACTTCCTGAAGGTGCCATAGCTATTAGCCACAGTGTCCGCGCGTGAGCGTCAGGCGTCGTTGGCGCGTGTATACCTTCGAGTGTAACTTGCGATGGTCTCCCAGACTAATCCCCACCCCAAATAGTTTTGGATCATTCGAAATACGCAGTGGATGGACCGGGAACCAGTCTAGGTCACCCCCCAACTCTCCTTCTCTGGCCGTTGAAGGGGTACTTGTGCACGGAGCGGGAGCCCATAGACATCACCAGATGCATGAAACGACTTCTAATGAAAAGCTATTCTGTATCAATGGAATAGAATTGTGTGCACTTTGACGTTCTGTAACCAGCTTTACTAGGCTTGCCTTGTCTTGTTTTCCTCTAATACACAGCTGCACTAAGCCCTGCCCAATCACGCTTTGACCAATCACAGCTGTAATTAATGTCCAACATATGTGCAGAAAAGTTGGACATGTGTGCATGCGTTCTGACCATACCCCCCTTGTGGGGTGATGTTCCTTTCAGGACACATCACCCCACTATTTTCACAATAGAAAAACATCACCCCAGAAGAGAATCTTTAGAAAAAGGGATAATGGGAACACAATGCTATCACCCCACTATTCCGTCTGGCTGGAGAGTGCGTGCGCACATCTGGAGCACATGCAGTGGCATTGCATTGGCATTGAAGACACACACATGTTGTCTCAGTGGGCGGGGCTATGGATCAGTCTATAGGGGCTGGTCACCTCCCCATATGACACATGGTGATATTTGGTCTTGTTTTTATCAGGTGTTCATGTCATGTTTTCTTGCAGAATTTCAACCCCCAGACCCCATTCTGCATGGGTATACCTGGCATCATGCAGGCCTATCAGAACTGCATCAGAAGTGTACAGCTCTATGGACCAACAAACTTTGCCCCAATCATCAACCATGTTGCAAAGTACGTTAAGCCCAAACAAGTACCCCAAATCTGTGCAGTTCAGCATACAATATCAAAGTTATTGATATGTGCTCTTAACCCATTTGCATCGTAATCAGAGTTGTAGTGACTTGAATCAGTGACTCGACTCAGTCTGACCCGAGTCACAACTTTTGGAGACTCGACTCGACTAAAGTCCCAACAAGTAACTGACTCGAGTCACTGCGAGCAAATGACTCAACTCGACTCGAGTCCCTCATCAGAAGATTGGACTCGATTCAAGTTGATGGCTTATAACCCAAGAGTCCCAAAACTGTTCAAATATATAATATTTGTGGTTCAATTACGATACAGAGATTTTTACGTTTGTGTACTTTGCGTTACTGTCAAGGTGTGGCCGCTTATCGCGTACAAATATACGCTGTATCACAGACTCCCACCTTGTGGTTTTATTATGCAGGGCACAAACTACTATACTGGAACCAGACTATAAAACACATTTCCCAATTCTTGGTTTCATCATCGGCTTCGGGCGATTTCTTAAGCCCTTTGATGGAACTCCGGCTAAACTTATGTCCTATTTTCAAAAATAATTAGATATATTTCCATATAATCAGAAACGGTTTCATACGTTGCAATTTGATTTTGACGTTGTCAGCAAAACAATTTTAAGAATCATTATTTGACAGCTCTCAGAAGCTGAAATTATGGTCGGAGAGCAAACGTTATCTGATAAACCAGTATCGGTCCAAACAATAACTGATGTGCTCATCTATATTTCATTTTTGAAGCATATTTCAAGTCTATGTGGTAGCTCAGTATTTGTTTTAGTTCAGTTCTGTCCTAGCAATTGTTTGTCCTGAGTTTCACCCTCTGAGGAAGCCCTAGTTTGCTCATTGCCAGTTTTCTTTGTCTCACCGTGCAGGTTTGCGCAAGCCTACATGGATGGTTCCAACTATTTCATCCTGCTTGTGATCACAGATGGTGTCATCTCAGACATGGAGATGACTAAGGATGCAATCATCAGTGTAAGTCACTGGTTAAGTTGTTAATCACAAGGCATCACAAGTGAATCACAAGACAATCACAAGGCATCATAAGTCAATCACAAGAAAATTACAAGGCATCATAAGTCAATCACAAGGCATCATAAGTCAATCACAAGGCATCACAAGTCAATCACAAGTCAATCACAACACATCACCAAACAATCACAAGGCATCACAAGTCAATCACAAGGCATCACAGGTCAATTATAAGGCACCACAAGTCAATTACAAGGCATCACAAGTTGTTGCAAGTCACATTGTGCATACTGGTACTTGGTCAACTGAGCTATTTAGTCATGTTATAGTTGAGTCCATCTCAAGTTCTCACAAGCCCTTACAAGTCCATCTCAAGACAATCACAAGTGATCCAGTCCCAAGTCAAGCCTCAAGCTTTTCACATGAATTGTAACAAAGGCATTCCTTTGATGTCTTCTATTGTAACATCCCCCGTTATTGTTAATGACGGGACTTATCATAAACTTGACTGTCACACTGCTAGTCAGTCCTTTGTTGGCCATCTCTCAATTTGTCAAATATTCCAATGGTATGCAGGGGTTGCCCTTAACTTTTTTTTTGACTGGCCAGCCGGACCAGTTGGCTAGAATTTTGACTGGTCCGCCAGGTTTTTGACTAGTCCGTCTTATACAGCGTGTACCCACCAGTTAATCAGTTTCACACAAGTCATAACAAGACTATTGTCATCAACACCCATGTCATCATGTCACCTGAGCAGTAGAGATCTATTTTCTTCCTCCATGATCTGAGGCCGCAAAAAAATATATATAGTTCTGCCTCAGATTACATGCCTTTTAAAAATAGGGTCGGTCGGTCGGATTTTTGGGGGGTTTTTGGCCAATGTTTTTTACGCAGCTTGAATGGGGTATTCAATTAGGCCTCAGTATGCGAAGTTTTAGCCTGATTTATTTTCATTGCACTACGCTGGTGGCCACAAAAAGTGAATAAAACGTACCTTAATTAGGCCAAAAAAAAATATAGATCTGCTTCCGATTACATGCCTTTCAAAAATAGGGTCGGTCGGAAATTCTTCTTTTTTTTGCCAATTTTTTTATGCAGATTGAATGGGGTTTTCAATTATTATGCGAAGTTTTAGCCTGAACTATTTTCATTGCACTACGAAATCTATACACGAAATGGCAACAAAAAGTGAATAAAACCTACCTTTAATTATTGTCAATATATTTACGTTCGATAATTTCAAAAAATAATAGAAAATTCAGGTCGTTCGCACCATATGCACAACGCTAGTCAAGACGCCGCGGCCGCGGCGGGGAGCTGGCCAAAACTCCGAGGTGTGTGATGCGTGCGTGTGTGGCGAGCGGCCCACCATGGGCCGACAGACCCGTTTTTACGGTCAAAAATTTCGGGAAACACACGGCATGTATCACTCCAAATATGAGTAGTGCGATCTCAAAATGAACTCTTGAACACAGAAAATACATACACAGACAAGCTAGATCAATTCTGTAAATTAACTTGCAAAAATGTTCTTTCTCCATCGGTGTTTTCTTGGCATTTTTACGATGTCGAATCCGACCAGTTGACAGAGCACGTGCCTGCACAATGCATAGCCATGCTAGCGCTATCGATCGCATAGCCGTGCACAGACTAGTTACCGCATTTTCATCATGTCTTCTAAATTGGCGCGGCGGGAACCAGTCATCGCCGCATTGGGCTGGGTTTACGTACATGATTATAGTCACCGTGACATCGAGTTGCGAAGTAGTCATATCGCGAAGCGAATTTGTAAAAATAACGGAGGTTTCTTTTGAAAAAAATAGCGAATGTAAGTAAGAAACCAAATAAATACAACAAGCATTTTTTTGACGCAGATTTTTTCGGCTGGCCAGCCGGACCACTTGGCAAGGTGTTTCAGCTGGTCCGCCGGCAATTCAACTGGCATTTGGCCAGCGGACCACCGCTTAGGTCGAACCCTGGTATGATAGATAGCTCAGTCGAAAAACACATTGGTACAATATTCCAGATGATTTTTTTGGTTCAACTAAATATTGCTAAAAAAGTATTTTATCAGTTTGCCATTGTATTTATTTGATAATTCTCTCAGTTACTGCAAAATGGACAAGTCATGCTTTAATTACTATCCCTGGCTTAAGAATTCATGCAATTTGACTTTATATTTTTATTTTCTTCCGCCATCAGGCCAGTTCTCTTCCTATGTCTATCATCATCATTGGTGTTGGTCCTGCAGAATTTGATGGTGAGTTAAGTTAAAATGTAAAGCAAAATAAGTAGAAGGGGTCTCTTTTGTGTAGGATTGGAATTACATACCTTTCAAAAAAGGGAATAAATGTGTGTTTGGGAGTTATTAAAAACTCTGTTTAAGACTGGTTGTAGTCTGGATGGGTAATTATCAGCACTCCAGACTCCCACCGGTCTTAAACAGAGTGTTTAATACCGACCAAGCACATATTTATTCCCATTCATAAATACCTTTTTGGTCAAAAAACCAAATGTTTTCGGTCCAAAAATCAAAATAAGTCAAAAACTAGATGTTGCCAACCATTTTGTTGAACAATTTTACTTCATGATTTATGAAACACCCCTCTGACTATAATATGGAATGTCCCTCTACAACTCCTTACCTTATAAGGAGATTGGTATGCGCGTCATGTGTACTGCGCGATGTCGCGCAAAACACAGCTGGGCTGGTGTAGTGTGTATTTCGGACAATGAAATACTGGTTTACTGGTATAGTTTTGCGCATGCCTATTTGAGGAATGTGAACGTTCAACCAATGAAACGTTAAAAGGCACCGGATTTCATGGGAGTCCAAATTTCATGTGACACTGGAAAAGTGTTTAAGACCAACCAGCCATGTCTTTATCATCCGCGTGACGGGCTCTCGACCAATAGGAATGGGTAAACTGTATTAGGTATTTATGAATGGGTGTTAAGAGTTGCTAAATTGACTATAAAGGTGCTTCATTTGAATATTCAGCAAGGGCCAGGGGCAATAATTCTAATCTGGAATTTCTTCATTACATGGCTGATTGGATTTGTTCAACTATTTCCTTTTGTTTCCCTCATAGCCATGGAGGAGTTGGATGCAGACAAGCAGGCGCTGGCATATCGAGGCAGAGTAGCAGAAAGAGACATCGTTCAGGTAAGCGCCGTTTCTAGTAAGCAACATTTCTAGTAAGCAGCGTTTCTAGTAAGCGCCGTTTCTAGTAAGCAGCATTTCTAGTAAGCAGCATTTCTAGTAAGCAGCATTTCTAGTAAGCAGCATTTCTAGTAAGCAGCTCCTGCAATCTTGCCAGTGGACCTATAAAGTAGCCATCATTTTTTTTTATTGAAGAGGACTCCAAAGTGGGAGGGAGGGGCAACATTCATGATTTTTAAAAGAAAAGGGGGGGGCCCTTCACATTTAGATGCCTATTGGCTGATGGGTACAGTCATGGTTACAGTTGTCTTCTTATTGGCTAGAAATAGAAACATTCAATTTGGACACAACATGGCTCAGTGATACATGCACAGTGAACCACACTGAGTAGGGACGATGTATTTGTGCTGGTCCCAGAGTGTCCTCTTTGTACCTGTACCTTATTGATTCACTGACCGACTTTCCTTTGTGACTTACACTGGTCCAGGGGCTGATTTTACAAAATGATAAGTCATGTCTTTGGAAGGCTAATTCGTCTTAACTTGCAACTCATCCTAGGATCGATTTCACCCAACTTAAGACGAAGTCAACACGTCCCAACTTCCATAGCAATGCGGCTGAACTCGTCCGTCTGTAGAAATCGCTATAGAAACAAATTTGAAAAGATTTCTGATATGTGGGTAGGGTTAGTAAAAACATTATTTACAAACTATGATTATACGGCAACAACTAGTTGACTTTTTAAAATAGTGATGAAACGAGGAGGAAGAATGACTTCAGCACATCTTGTGTAGAACTACAATGTACCTTGCGTGTGAAATTTATTGGGTAGAGTACATGTAATTTCTCTGGTGAGAAAGTTCACGTTTCCATGCGCTTTTATTTCAACAACTGTTTTGTCAAGCGGTAAAAACAAACATAAAACAGCTAACGAATTGGTAGGTTTGATGCATCTTGTTTAAGATGGGTTTAGTGAAATCGATCTTAGAACGCGTTGTAGCCAAGTTCGATCTTAGAGAGGGGCCTTGTCTTAAATCCCAAGATGAGTTTCAAGATAAGACAGGTTTTCATGAAATCGCCCCCAGGACCAGCTATACTGATCTTGCCCTGTCTTGTTCAATCGAAAATTTGATCAACTCATCTCAAAAATGACTTGCCAATCAGCCATTCTTACTTGTCATTAGTGTCTTCAAGTTGTTTTGTTATCTTTTATATTCCAGTTTGTACCATTTAGGGAATACATCGGTGGTGTCGGGAGCGGCAATCAGCATCTCAGTCAGGCCCGCCTAGCCAAGGACGTCTTGGCTGAAGTACCGGACCAGATCATCGCCTACATGAAGAAACGTGGTATCAACCCTAACCAATCCCCCACGACGCACACATCACTGGCTCCAGCCCCAGTGCAGTGATCAGATTCAATATTGCTTCACAAGTTCAGAGTAATAACATGACTCCTGGATCACTTGCTGAATTTGTATAAATAGTGTTATAAAAATGAGAAAGGCAAATGCCAAAAATGGATAAGAGCTTCCATGTACATGCACATTGTATATCTGCCATGCTGGCAACGTCATGAAATGTACGTGTTATAGATAGTATAATAAACCCATCAGTACCTGTACTGCATTGTACTACACTACATTGTGTTGATGAATCCGGTTTGGCCATTTTTGGATGGAACATGTACATGGAGTAACAGGTCGGGCAGTGAACAGACTAGTAGGTTAATTTAGCAATAGTTTAGAATTAGTGTAGGAGAGAAGTTGTTAGGAGAAAGCAGGGATAGTTTTTTAGTTCATTTTGTACAGTAACATGAAGATCAAACATGATGAAGTAATCAAATGTGGCTTGAAACATAACCTTTAGACAGACTGGGCTAAGTCTAATCATTTTAGAACCCAGGAAAATCTTTCACTGAATGTAATTAAAACAAATAAATGTCTGCTTATGATTGCCTTGTAATGAAGTCATCTATTTTCTATAATTCTACATGTATAGTTTTTCTATTCTATCTTCTTAAACTAAATGTGTATCTAATCATGGCAAATGATTAAAATTTATGTCAATATATTCTACATGTATGAGAATTTGCCTGCACTTAATTATGTGATAGATTGAATGTAGTTCTGTCTTCTAGATCTCTGTCTGACTTTATTTGCTATATAGTCTGTTTGGATGTGGATTTGTTTATTTGTAACTTTTTTAAGAGGAAATATTTTACTTCCTATTGAACTCAAAACAGCCTTGGAATACAGCCTTATTAAAAATATATCAGAACGGTTTGAATTCAATACATTTAAAAAATGGTGAAAATCAAGGGATGATAGAGCTCCAGCACAGTGTCCCACAGACTGTAGATTGGAACTTGAGCATCAGTGTTGCCTTCGATTGTTTCAATTTGGTGCTGTATGAGAGAGCGACACATCGGGTTCAGCTCAATTTGTGTGCCTACATGTGCAAAATGTACATGCATGCACATGTTCTTGTCCATACTTTTACTTTGAAATTCATTGACTACATTGTATATGTATTAAAGGGAATATACAACATTTGCAAACATCGAAAAACAAAACTACCAAGTTTTTGCGAAATACCTTAATAGGATTTTGGTAAATGACAGTCTAAAGCATCCTGTAAAATTATGGCACCTGGTATACTGTCATTTTCAAGAAAAGTGGTATTTTTGTATCAATTTCCAACGCTGATCGGCCGATCAGCGTTGGAAACAACTGGCTTTTTTTCAAATACCGGCCCCAATTGACCATTGCACTTGTTTGCAATCGATTACAAACCTATGAACGGGTACGAGCCAGCTAGACTGGTTCCCTGACCTTACAATTCCCCAATGTATGTAAACTGCTCTGATTCTTCTTATATGGAGTCAGGGAACCAGACTACAGGAAAATGATCGTTTTTCTTGGTTTTTATAGCATTTTCGAACCCAAAACCTTCAAAAAGTCAGTGCATCTATATTTGCTTTATATTTCCAACCCCCCAATTCCATCCATTTCTGAAAATTACAGCAAAAGCAAATGATGTATATTCCCTTTAAGTAAGATTTGAGGCTTTGCATGTGAAGATACTAAATAATGAAAAGTTTGCGGAAACACCATGTGCGAATAATTTCTCAACTAAGAGAATGGTTCTGAAAAGAACCAGAGGTAAACTCGTTTACCTCTGGGTCTGTTCAGAACCATTCTCTTAGTTGAGAAATTATTCGCACATGGTGTTTCCGCAAACCTTTCATTATTTAGTATATGTATTAAGAGTTTTTTACCACTTAAGTTTAATATGCAACATGTTATTTAATATATATTTGCCTTGTTACTATGGCAACTTATCCAGCCCAGAACAATTACCGTGTTGTATTGTGAAGAAAAAGTACTATTAATGAAGGTTTTTTTTTAATGCTCTGTAAAAGCTGTATTTTTGAATCATGCTTGCTGCAAATTATGGACATTTTGAAATAAATGCCTTATTTTTTTCAGCGGGGTTGAAGAAACAATATAGAACTATGGGGTTATTCAAATGCTGGCTAAAAGACATCAATTACATGTATGTTAAGTTTGAGAAATTTTTGTGAGTTGACCAGACTTTTCATCTCCACGGATACAATGTATGTGAGTTTTACATTGTTTTGTAAAGCATGTTGTAACTAAAGAACACATTTGTATAAACGCTAGAAATCTTGAAACAGGCTGAAATGATAAACTTGCAAAATCTGTTAGCCGAATCTGAAATTATTGTAATAAATAATCAAATGTTATCAAGGGAGAACTTGGTTCATTGCAAGTTTACATGTACATTTTCTTTTCTACTTGACAAGTATTTGTAAGATAGTTGTAATTAATGTCAGACTAAAATTGCTTGTAAACTTGTTTGCCCCACTTTTATTAGAATTGAAGGTCATGTACTCACAGAGAGTGAATTTATTAATGGTTAATTACCAACACTAAAGCTTCAAATTTCAATATACATGTACATGTATAACTGACAACAAGCACTTGTTAATTGTTTCACTGTCGGTGCAGTCTATAATGTTACCAATGTTTACAATGTATAATGTATACTGACTTTGAAGTTTGAAAGTTTACTGTCACAATCACGTGTATGTTTTTCAAGGAAGGAATTGTTACAATGTTTTGATACCAAAAGCAACAGCAGTATGAAGACTGTGTTTTTGTGTAGCCACGATTGTTTTGCTGGCCACATACATCGTTACAATGTACATGTATTTGTCTTGATGTCAATTCTTCTAATCGTGTTATTTCAAATTCCAAAAGTATTTTAACAATACAATGTATATCAAATAACAAGTATGTCATATACACTGTACTATGGGTGATAGTATAATGCACACCGTACCTCGTTCTCATTTCTTTCTGCCTATTAATATGCATCTTTAATTCAAATTTATAGCACATTGTATAAGTACATTTAAATTCTAGATTATTCAAATCAATTGTTGTCTTTAGCACAGACAAAATGTACCGTAAGTGACAAGACTCCGGATTACTAAACCTTCTTAAATAGACAACTGGGTTTTGTCTTAACATTTTATTACATTTGGTTAACCACATACAAGACAATTTCCACTAAACCATATAACTTGATAACACTTTTAAGTGTAATTACGAACACAATACTAAAATGCATACATGTACATGTACGGCATTGTTAATCATCAAGTAGATACATGTACATGTACGTGTACTTAAAATCCACAACACATCACCACATGTACCTCTGCAAACCTGGGGTACCCTCCCAGACAAAGGGTTTCTCCAGAAAGAGATACAGGGTGGCGATATTCACTGCCGCACCAATGAGCAGCTCAAGGCATATCTTCCAGTAGGGCTGCAAGGGCATCTGGGCTCTGAAGAGTAGGTAGGGAACAATGAAATACCGCAGCTCTAGAAGTTTCTGCGGTACGGTGACTGCAGCTAGGCAGGTGAAGTAGACAAGGCGCCACAGGTTGCTGCAGGATGGGAGGTTGTCCTGCATGCACCAGTCAATGTAGACTGCAACGGGTACAAGGCAGTACTTGATAAGGTGGTCACGCTGGTACAAACGCCAGATGCTGAACACATAGTGCCGGTTGTCTGACAAGACGTACAGGTGAACATAAGTCAGGTAGTGGACGGCAAGCAATCCCAGGCAAGTCAGGGTTATGTAAGTCAGCGGGCGTTTCAGGCAGGTCTTGAGGAATCTGACCGCGGAGTAAGGGGATGTCAGATATGGTGCAGCAAAGAAAGCTGAGAACATCAGGAAGTAGACGAGCTGGGGTAGGTTGAGGCAAGGCTCATGGTGACTTTTGTCCCCTACCACGATTCCCTTATTGAGGTACAGAAATACCAGAAAGGCCACCGCCACAAGGCCATATGGCCAGAGGAGGAGTATCAAACGCCCCAGATGGGAGATCTTGAGGAGATACAGCAACGCCTTCTTGATCGAGGTGAGGATGGCTCCAAAGTCGTTGACGGCATCCGGACTCTGCTTCCTGCCTCTCTCACCCTCCACCTCTCTCGCGAACGTCACTCCCGCCGTGAAGACCACCCAGACAATGTTGGACTGACGGAAGACAACGCAGAGTGCCCCCATCAAACCAGCCATGATATGGTTGCCATGGAGACTGAATAGGTACATAATGAGGATGAAGAAGGTGGAACCCGGATCCGTGTAGTAAAGAAAGGTGAAGAAGTACAGCACAGGCAGATGGGCCAAGGAAGCTGCAGTCAGAAGTGGCTTGAAACCATGGGATGCCTGAAAACCATTATTTAAAGAAACAAATCGTATATTTGATTAAAATATTATAATGTAGTTGAGCAAATTTCTAGAGAGCATATTTATCAACAGAACCGAGTCAACAAATTTTGGCAAATTTGTGACTGTATCTCACTAACTCAATTCTACAAAGTTTGACTTGCAGCTCAAATTCCGAAAGGGGTAAGTTTACTTGTTTGTTTGCTTTTTTTGGTCACTGTGCAAGGGTAAGGTGACCCCAAATTGTTACACCTTAAAACTTGTTGGTTACATACTCAATAAACATGTACCTTGTCATGTCTGTTGATTCTCATGATCAGTGCATACAGCAAATACAAGTTGCCCACTGCAAACAGGATGTTAGTGGATCGCAGAATGACAGTAGTACACATCTCAGACATGTCAACTTGCATCAACTCAGTGATGGGTCTGAGCAGACCGACTGAGGCTAGGTACAGGCCAGGTAGGGTGGTTATCATAGGATCCCACTGTTGATGAAAGATGATCAATTCAGATAGGATTGAATTTCACATTAAATCTCTTTGTGATTTCTATGAAAGTGTTGACTGAGTTGCATGAATTTCTCCTAGATGATCTTTGTCTATGGCTAGTACAAGCTCTACATGTACATGATAACCACAACGAACACCATCACAACTGCTGTGTCAAAAGGAGCCATGATTAGTAACACTTTCTACACATAAAAAGACAAATAGTGACAATATACATGTATAGTGTACAAATTATGTTGCAAATAGGCCCAGTATATGAATTTAAAAAGATAAGAAAAAGAAAACAGGCGGTAGCCAGAAAAAAGGAAGCGTGCATGGTGATAAACTGGTTTATGCTTTAACTTGGCCTAATATTATAATCCATACAAAAACAAATGGAAAAGATAAAAACCATTTAAAGACAAACATGATCTGTCACTGTTTTTATGCTAATGCAAAAACTAAAAATAGAACATTTGTTTTAACAAAGCCGTTCTAAATTCCCGGAGAACTTAGACGCCACTTTGTTAGGCCTTAGACTAGTAGAGTAGATTCAACTTAAAAAAATTGAAAACAGATTACAATGCTTCTTAGCCTCATGACGGCCCATCGGGCACTTGTTGCGCGCGCGACTGTTTCGCTCCAGTCAAGCGCTCAAGTGGTTGTGCCTGTGGTTGGGTTGTTGTAGCAGTAGTACTAGCGGGTCCTACTAAAATGTGTCAACAATATCGTCAACAAGCATCAAAGGTCGTCAATAAGCATCAACAAAGTTTGTATATGCTTTTGAACATTAAAAGTAGCTTTATATGGTCGAAAAAGCAATAAAAAACATCTAAGTTCTGCATATCAATTAAAGTTAAAATTATTTAAAAACTTGTTTTTTGAACGCGAAATGTACGACGAGTTTGCCGCGCCGATTAGTGTTGACCGCCATCTTGTTTGGATGGCACTGTACACGAGCATGGCTCTGTACACTTCACGCGGGTGTTGGACGCTTCGCCCCATTTCCACGTCGCCCCATGTCACTTCGCCCCTAACCACTTCGCCCCATCCCCACTTCGCCCCATCCCCACATCGCCCCATCTCCGCTTCGCCCCATCCCCGCTTCGCCCCATCCCCGCTTCGCCCCATCCCCGCTTCGCCCCATCCCCACTTCGCCTCATCCCCGCTTCGCCCCATCCCCACTTCGCCCCATCCCCACTTCGCCCCATGTAGTATGAAAAAGGTGAAGGCTAGGGGTGCAGACCAAATAAACTGCCAAAGACCCCAGATAATAAATGCTCCCAATTCTAGAAACTTAGGAAAAATACAAACTCTCTGATGAGGTGCTCGAGACACAGATGAGAGAAATGATGGCTCTATCCCATTCAGAGACGCCTCTCCTATTGGCTTGTGAATAAAATCATCAGCCGCTGGATTCAAAGAATCCGTAGGTATGGGTCAGTGAGTTAAAAGGAACTCACTGCCTTGAGGAAAATGTTCCGTCGAAATATGTCTGATATGTGACACTTACAACTTCATTTAGATGAGATTGGTTCCTCCAAGAGTGACATTAGGATGTCAACGGTATTGTCGCTCTCAGATAAGAGGGAGACGGGTTGGTATAGCCATGGAGCTATAGCTCCATGGTATAGCCGGGTTGGGAACAAAGTTGGATCTTTTACTTCAAGCTTTTTTCTCGGTAGGGGAGAGCCTAGCTAGAGAGGTTGGTTATGAATTGTTCATTTGGTGATGGGCTAATTCTTTCCGTTGGTTAGCAATTAGTGAACCTGTTGAAATTGTTTTTAAGCCAAAAAAATAGATGAGATTTTTTTTTTTTACATGTATTGTAACGGCTGGGGCGAAGTGGGGATGGGGCGAAGTGGGGATGGGCAAAGTGGGGATGGGCAAAGTGGGGATGGGCAAAGTGGGGATGGGCAAAGTGGGGATGGGCAAAGTGGGGATGGGCAAAGTGGGGATGGGCAAAGTGGGGATGGGCAAAGTGGGGATGGGCAAAGTGGGGATGGGCAAAGTGGGGATGGGCAAAGTGGGGATGGGCAAAGTGGGGATGGGCAAAGTGGGGATGGGCAAAGTGGGGATGGGGCGAAGTGGGAATGGGGCGAAGTGGGGATGGGGCGATGTGGGAATGGGGCGAAGTGGGGATGGGGCGAAGTGGTTAGGGGCGAAGTGACATGGGGCGACGTGGAAATGGGGCGAAGTGTCCGACATTCCTTCACGCATGCATAGTACGCTAGCTTCACGTAAACGAAATGGTGGCCAACAAAAACTCGACAGAGTCGTCGTACGTCATGTACGTCATGTACGTTTCGCGTTGTACAACGAAAAATTTCAATCAATTTTACCTCGTTAAAAGAGCCATTGCAGTATTGCTTGGCCTGTGGTATGTGGAAAATCTCGTCCATGTACGGTTCTGGCTGCACCTTGTTTACTTGGTAGAATAATACCGAAGTAAAAGCAAAAAATATGGAGAGAACGATCACCACAACAAATTTCATGGGCGCCGCCATTTTGATTTCTTGCCTGGTAACCTAGACTTCTTCCGATGGCTGGTTTAGTGGACAGTGTGGTACCTGACTACTGTACAGCTTTCGTGTAGAACTTCAACTTCAAGCAGCACTCGGAGAAAAGGGAAGAGAAAAGTAGGCATAAAGCCCTAACTAGAATTAGAAACACATAAAATAATTGTTTTGTCAAAATGTCGACTTCGGAGTTTGCTGTCAGATTTCGACTAGAACTATTCCCCGAGATTGCTGTGTGCGTTGCCCTTTTCAAAGATGTGAAGAATGTGGATGAAATAAAGAACAGCATCGTGGCTAGAAAACTTGATGCTGCCCTCTTGACTCCAAAAATGGTGAGTCAAACTTTGTTGATATTTAGGCAATTAATAAAATAATTGTTATCTACATGTATTTCTACTTTCAAAACCAACTTTAAACAGATTCTTCTCAACAAGTACTCTAATTCATGAACTCAGAATTTTTCGCTTATCAAATTTTCTTTTCTTGTCAATATGTTCAGTTAGCTCTACTGAGCATTGCTGAGTGGAGCGTTGAACTGAACTACGGTACCCTCCATACAAGGGTACCGTAGTTCAACGCTCCACTCAGTAGAGCTACTGTTCAGTCTACAACATTCCTTGTAAATCCTTCGTACTGCCTGTTTATCTTCATAGATCATGGTTTTGTATTATTTTGTATTATTTTATATCTTGGAAAATATCTTTGGAACCTTTTATTTAGTCCGAGTAACTAGGACTCGACGAATCGCCTTTTTTAACATTTGGACATGGTCGGGCGACTATAGGCCTACTACATGTATGTCCAAATGTTAAAAAAGGCGATTTGTAGCGTAGAGTCCTAGTTTTCGGACTAGTCTCACTCTTAGCTTAGGCGAAGTAAAAAAAAACACACACAGTTTGTCATCCCAACATGCCCAGGTTGCTTTTTTTTCCCCTTTCTTTAAATTCTTATATTTGCAATATATTTTGCATGTAAATTGTCACTATACATGCTATATGGTCTATTTTGTTTCCCACAAATTGTAGCTATTAAAGGTAATGGCTGAGGCTCCTTTGGACACACAATTTTGTATCAGCAAAAAGTCGCGAAAATTAAAGAATCAATTCCATCTTGGAAAAAACCACTATCTTGGGGAAAAAACTGACCGTCTCTTTCATTTTTTCAAAAAGGCCGGATGAGAAACTACTTATTTATTTTACTCGGCCTAACCCTTATCCTCTCACTTGGAAGCTCAGCAAAACCTGCACATTATACGTGAATACAATTTCACATCATCACTTGCTCATTGATTACTAATGTTACAGCTTAGCATATTCCATCCTCACGCACAAAACCTTCATCAGGTACATGTATATTTAACGTTACATGTACATGTACCCATCAGACTCAATGTTAAAGAAATGAAATGCCCTTAATTACTTTTCCTGTTTGTTGCAGATTGTCAATCCTTTCCAGGTGTTGATTGCTGTGAATAAAGCTCTACATGTCAGGAAACACGGACTCAGGATGCATACAAGAAACATCAACTCAGAGGTCCTCTTCAATTTGTCTCCGATGAAAAATGTGAGCTGAAGCATGAATACAATTATATCCACAGCATTTTGACCAGTATAGGACTACAAATCTTTTTCCAAGACTGGAGTTTTAATTTTGCAGCCAGTCCCGTGACAAAGACGGTTAAGTTGCCGTATCTGTGGTCCCTATCAGCGCACAAGATGAATCAAATCCAGGCAATATTGGCCGCGCTACCCAGAAACTGCAGAGCATACCTCATCCGCGTGCATTAGCTTGAATACATCTCGCGTGAGGTATGCTCAGAATTTCCTGGGTAGGGCTGCCAATATTGCCAAGACTGGATTTGATTCATCTTGTTGATTGCGACCTCGCTTGTTACAGACCGGCTATATAAGGGGAATAACATCCAGATCAAGCATTGTCAAGTCTAAGACTAGTACAGCTCCAAGTTATTGGCCTCTGATCTTTTCTCGCTTCCAGATCAGTGCTTGTTTTCAACAGTTTGGCTTCTCCAAGGAAGACACAGGCTTACTAGCAGTCACTCTAGATGATGACTCCATGGATAAGATGAAGGCAGTGGAGGGGGTGGTGGATGGTTCCATGGCCAGTGTGGATGAGTTGTCTTCCTTCACTGATGAAAGTCTGATCAAACAGGTGAGTCAAGTAGGGGAAGGTCTAATCAGTGCAGTGATAAAACTAGGTGCCCCCATGTTTGAGTTCTAAGCCCCCCCCCCCTTCCCAATCTCCCTCCTGCTCTGAATTTAGAGAGTGAAACAAGCTCTGTATTAGGCCGAATAAAAAAAATATTATAGTTCCTCTTCCAAGCGTTTTTTAAAAATGTAGCAGGCGGGCGCATTTGTTCCTTTTTATTTTTCTCAAGATGGCGGATTTTCTGAGATGGCAGATTGATTCTTTCATTTTCTGGACTCTTATGCTGATACAAAATTGTGTTCAAAGGAGCCATAACCCTTTCTACCTATTAATTTTGTCACAAATAAATAGACAATATATCGACAATATATCGACAAAATACAGCAAATGTATGAATGAAAAAAAGAAAATCAAAAATGGAGGCGAGCGGGAAAACTGGAAGTGAACGTGGATTAGAAACTGGTTTATTTTTACTAGGCCTTATTTGAATTTTTTTTCAACTATGACCAAATCCATTAAGTGTCCATCCCCCTGTTTAAAGGAAACTGATTTTGTCTTGTAGGTGTACAAAATTCACGAAGAGGAACTATGTGTGTGCTCCGTCTTAGACGCAGTGGTCAGTAGAATGGCAGGGAAGGAGGTATTATGAGAAGACTGTTAAGAAATGAACCAAAAATAACAATGATGGCATCCCAGAAAGGTCACAGGTCATGGCAAGTAAAATGTGAATGGCCATGGAATGAGAGTGAAGGGCGCATTAGGGTGGAATGGGACTCTTGACAGATGAGGTAAAAATAGCAATGATGTCATTCCAGCAACTGAAGGTCAAAGGTTGTGAAACAAGCCTGGAAAAACAGCCAGTTCAAGTGGGCAGCTACAGCAGTGAAACAAGCTATGATCCTGAGCTGTGAGTTGTTACCTGGATTACTTTGAGGAGGTTGTGCTTTGCCATTGGGAGCAATAAAGTGGAGACACAAAGTGCCACGTTCGTCAGAGGCCCGTAGCCAGCGCAGCCCACCAGCGATTAGTTTCTCTTCAGAAACAAATGCATGTGCTTAGGCATTAATTTCTGTAATATTTATACCATAATCATGGGCGTCGCCAGGATTTTTTCTAGAGGGGGGCAAAAAAAATGTTTGCCAAAAAATGCTTGTATTTCTCAACACATTCTCGATTTATCAGTTTTAGAGGGGGGCAGGGACATTTCCCCCCCCCCCCAACTCATTAAATTTACACCACTTTGTCTTCGCGCCTCTTTTTTTTTTTTTTTTTTCTTTTCTTTTTTTTCTTCCTTTTTTTTTTTTTTTTTTTTTTTGCTTTTCCAGGGGGGGGGGGGGGCAAGTGCCCCCCTTGCCCCCCCCCTCGCGACGCCCATGACCATAATTGATGTTTAATACCATATTTAACCATACTTTTTACAAAGTGTTGGAATAAATGTCCTATGTTGTTGAAAAAAAAAGGTGATTGGTGATCTTTTTCAAATCCTTTTTTTTTAGTTCATTTATGTTAGACTTCTGTTTTGTAATTTGAATTTGACTGAACAGATGGCAATCGGACTATAAGCCAGAAATCTACCCATGTTTGTACAATTGCGCCCTCTTTCGGCCATATGAAGCCTTGCTTGCCTTTTGCTATGGCAAGATTTACGCTTCCCACTTTGTTCTTATTCGACTGTATCAGTATTATGGTGTTCCACTTTTCAGCTGCTGAGAAAAAGCTGCTTTGTTTTTCTTGCAGGAATTTTAACAGGCATTGCCTGAACGGCCGAGTCTGCTTTTACATGTATATCATTCTGGTATGGCCTCCTTGTGAACTCAATAACCTTCATAGTCACCCGGCAAATCAAATCCTCACCCTGCGATCCGGTTAATAATTGAGATGTTTTCCTAGTTCAGGCCGACTGTTATTGGCTTACGTGCCCCGGGGAGCGAGGCAAAGCACCGAGCCGAAGCTTTGATTCCCGCCAACCTGCAGAGAGAAGGAGGAGGAAGCCAGAGCCAGTGCCCTACGGAGCATATGGACTAGAAAAAAAACCACTTGCCTAGCCCCGGACTAGCGTCATCTATGATGCCTTCCTCCATGCCTCGTCACCAGACTACCCTGAATAGTTGCAAATCCCATCGTCCTTGGGTCTGCTTCACTCATCCTCCATCCTTCCAATCGACAGATGTTGACATGTATTTTTAGCCTCATTGATCTCTCTTGGTTGAATAATTTATTTCAAGAAAATAGTGTTGTTGGACTCCTCCTCAGTCGATACATTTTTTAAGGATTTTTGTTTTCTCAGTCATTTTCTTGACACTAATGCTAGATTCGATGACAATCGTCGCCCTAAGCTTGACGGATGGAGGTTCCTGTTTAGTCTGTCATGTTTTGTTTCCATACAAATTTTAGTATAAAATGAACAGCGCCCTCGATATATCTCAAACCAGACGCAGCTGTTTGGATAACAGTCATGAGACCCTGGGTTTTTTTGGGTGTGTTTTTAAAGAATAAGTGGCTATACTATTCACTTTTTCTCACTTTCACTCGGGGGTAACACACTAATTGTACAGTGTCTATACGTCGGTGAAGGGCAAAACCTAATATTGAAAGTGGCTATACGGTCGGAAGTAAACAAGCGTTTTTGAGAGTGTAAAAAAATATCGGTTATGCTAACAAGATTTACATGCTTAGTAAATTTACAAGAGTTGTTTTCCAATGTGACGAAGAAATTCTTGTCACTTATGGTAAACAAGAGCAAGTTAAATCCAGTCATAAGTCTGATTGCTAAGCCTGATTCCCTGCAGCCTAAACCGACCTCATGGAGGGAATGAGATGGAATAAGGCAGCTATCCTTGGAACAATTGGACGAAGCAATAAATTGTTCATATTTGTTGAGTGTGTATGTGCGTGTTCATTCCTATACCAAGACACTCAGTACGAATGTACCGTGATGAAACGGCCCTTTCGCTATCGACAATGTTTCTTTCACCAGCTTCGTATTCGTTAAGTGAATTAAAATCCAAGTTTGTAATTACTTTTACGGGTACGCCTTTTTGTTTTTACGGGCTTAGCCTTTTGAAATGGTAAGAATTAATCTTCTTTATTTCTTTTCGTCTTTCCTTTTTTTCCCGGACAATAATTCTCCGTGGGTTTTCTTCTCAACGGTTTATGGTATAAACGTGTAACTTTGTACCAACATCAACCCTGATCCCATATTATTCGCCTATCAAGTGTCCTCCCCCCCCCCCCCCAGCTGCATGCACCAGCTGGTCCGATGTCGGGATTTGGTCACGTTTTTCATGCCCCAGGGTGGGGATTTTGGTCACTCAAAAACATTGTTACCATATTGGCGTACTATACATGGAAAGGCAATCACTAGTGCGCCCCACGTATATATGCCGGGGCATGGTCGGGGATTGTCACTTAAATTTTGCCCGAGGGGTGGGGATTTTGTCACTTCAAAAGTGACAATCCCTACGTCTTGGGTGGGGCAGCCCCGGGGGGGGGGGAGGAGTGGGGAACAAATAATAGGCGCATTACTCTGACGTTATGATGACGTCATCCGTATCAAATTACAAGCGATTTTTGTTTAAAAATGACCATATACAATTTTATTGCCGTACATGTAACTCTTGAACAAAATAATCAATGATGTTCGTATTTTGTAATCGGATAGATAATCAATTGATAGGGTCGCTTGACCTTTGCTTCCGGGTCTATACAGGAAGGTCAAAATTACTGAGGTGAATTGAACATACAGACAGAAGCCTCAAAATCTAAACGATCCTATAATTTCTTCCAAACGATTCAAGGGATGATGATAAAACCTGGTATGAACTTTAACCCTGGTCCGAAGATGTGACAAAAATTGTGACGTCATCATAACGTCATCAGATATCAAATTACAAGCGATTTCAGGTCAAAATTTGAATAGCTATTTTGAACCATCACTTTTCAAATGAATGGAGTATTGTTCTTATTCTTTGTGATCAGTTAGACAATAGACATTGCCTCATATTTTGGATTCCCGGCCACATAGTCGTTTGACCTTTATTTCCAGTGTTACGAGAAGTGCAATGAAAATTAAATATAACTTGAAAACGGAAGCATTTTTCCACAGACAAACGAATTATGGAAGTGTTGAGTGAGGAATGCCTAATGGTCCGGTGGTTACGGTGTTTGACTCGTGTATGAAGGTGTGTGGGTTCGAACCCTGCCAGGGGCAAGGTGTTTGTGCCCTTTTTGCCTCTCTCCACCCAGGAGTATAAATGGGTACCTGTGAGGGTCGAGGACCGATTGAGTGCTGATATCGGCTGCCGCGTGGTCCCATGGCCTGATGAACAGGGTAATAATTGTAAAGCGCTTTGAGATTGTTGATACGATGGAAAGCGCCATATAAGCACAATTATTCATTATCATCATCATTAGCCTAATTCAATCCACTGCTGGATGAAGGCCTCTCCATTTACTTTCCATGCTTTTCGGTCCCTTGCCAGTTGTTTCCAATTCTTCCCTATGAAATCAGAGATCTCATCTCGCCATCTCTTAGGCTGTCTTCCTCTTCGCCTCTTCAATGATAATGGCGTCCAAAGTCCGTTACTTTCAGGGTCCATCTGTGGTTGTCTCTTCTCATGACATGTCCTGCCCAACTCCACTTTTTCTTTTTGATCTCAACTATTATGTCTTGCACCCCTGTCTTTCTTCTAAGATCTTCGTTCCTTATTCTGTCTCTCTTTGTGACCCCAATCATTATTCTTTCCATTGCCCGTACAGTGACTCGAAATTTTTGCTCTGATTTCTTTGAAGGTGCCCAAGTCTCAGCGCCATATGTTAGAACTGGGATGATGCACTGGTCGAAGAGTTGACGCTTCATCTTTTGCAGTATTTTTCTGTCCTTGAATATGTAACTCAACTTGCACAATTATTAATTATTATTAACTTAAAAACTGCATGTCATCACCCGAAAGTACGCCCTCTAGCGGCACATCAAATAAAGTTGAACTTGCCTAAACATTTGTTTGTAAATTGCTCCTTGATATTGTTTGGACAGCCGCAAGTGACTTTACGAGGTTTCAGAATCATGACGTCATCAGACGGGAAGATATTATGGGGTGCTGTGGGCCAATGGTTACGGTGTTCGACTCATGTGCCCTGGTACATGGGTTCGAATCCTGACCATGGGAACATATGGTGCTTGTGCTCTTGAGCAAGGCACTTAACCATTATTGCTTCGTCCTTCGGATGGGACGTTAAGCCGTATATAGGTCCCGTGTGTTGTGTAATGCACGTTAAAGAACCCAGTAACACTTATCGCTAAGGTTTGCCCCGGTGTTTCTGGCAGTGGCTGCAATATGCGCCGCAGCACCTTGTAAACCCTTATAAGGTGCTATAATGGGTCTCATATTCTCATAAACTTCAGTTACCTGTCTTTAATAATAGACATAATTTCCAGCGCCTTGAGTACCTAGTTGTTGGTAGATACGTGCGCTATATAAGACTCCGGTATTATTATTATTATTATAAGGTAGAATTTGAACATGATCAGTTTTCTTTTTGCTTTAAAATTCAATTCCGCCATTTGATCTGTGTCTAATTAATATGTTCGTCCGACAAAACAGTGATACCCAGTACAATTTGAAAAGGCTTTAAAAGGCTGTGACGTCATCAAACCGGAAGTTAGGCGTTGTTTATACATACACTTAAACATTCATTATAATTTCCATATCTACAGAAGTTCTTTTCACCTCATGATGAACACACATGCTCTCTGAACTAAATCAGTCTGGTGTGGTCTTCTCTAGCTGGGAAAGGTAGCTGCCTTGAGCCAGGTCTTTGCTACAGGCCTAGGAGTGAGCTCATTGAGGTAGTCGCAGCCTCCTCTCCTAGGTGGTGGATGGGGCAGTCCATGATGAGTTGGTCAGCTGTCTGCGGCTTACCACACTCGCACCTGCCTGAGTCTGCCAGGTTCCATGCGTGTATGCCGGCATTGAACCGCCCTTTTGAGGCGGCACCGTTCCTTGCGGGGGAGGTTCCTTCCAGATGGGGATGTTGAGACTGGTAGCATGGTCGTCAGTCTTCCTCCGGTCTGGGTCCTCCTCCATGCCGCGAGGAGTCATTGCTATCTGTTTGGCTGAGTGCTTGCATTGATGTGTGGCTGAGCAGCTCTCAGGAATGGTTTCCTGCTCTTAAGGC